TGCAGGACCTGGGGGAGGTAGCATCCAACCCAGGAAGTGCGGAGGGAGGGAGGCAAGGCCCTGGGTTACGGAGGGACCACAGGTCTGGAACAGGGTGCCCCGTGTGCCTGCCATCGGGGGCCCTGACCATGGGGGTGTCACCCTTGACTCTCCTCCTGGAAGAGGGGTGTGCCTGTTCCAGAGGGCTGTTTCTAAGGATGAAGCTGTGTCTTCCTGCCCCTCTCAAGCCTCTGAAACCCAAGGAAGCATTAGTCCCCCACCCTGGGAAAGAGGCTTGTGTTTTAGTTCCTCTCTGGCGCCCTGATCCACTCCCAGTAGAGTTTGGAGAAGCAGGGTTTTTGTTTTTCCCCTCGCCTCCCTTAAAGGCAGGAGTTGCTTTGTGGCTCGCGTATGGCCCGTGGGTTGCAAACAGAAATCTGCCAGGAGCCTCTGGGAAAGCTTGTTCTCTGCTCATTGCCTTGAACCTGGCTGTGACTGCCGGAGCTGCAGCAGACGTTCTGTGACCGGGAGGCAAAGGCTAAGAGCATTTCAAGGTGTCAATCCCATTAGCAGAGGCACCTGCCTTTCTTCCACAGATCCTGATATACAAGAAAAATAAACCTGTATTTTTATTTTTTAAATATATTTTATTGATTTTTTTTACAGAGAGGAAGGGGGAGGGATAGAGAGAGAGACATTGATCAGCTGCCTCCTGCACACCCCCGACTGGGGATGTGCCTGCAACCAAGTACATGCCTTTGACCGGAATCGAACCTGGGACCCTTCAGTCCACAGGCTGATGCTCTATCCACTGAGCCAAACCAGCCAGGGCAATAAATCTATTTTTTAAACACCTCTTTTCTCCATGGTGGTAGCCCAGTTGTCTGTTTATTACCACTGAAAGAATTCCTAAGAGGGCATTTCATTAGCTACAATAATTCTCAAAGCCATAAAGAAAAGATAAAGAGAGATCACTACAAATTAGACATTATTTTTATATTCTTCTCTGTACCTGTGTCTTTAAAATGCCCTTCCGTGAGCATGTATTTACATGGTGATCGGGAGGGGAAATGGAAATAGGAATCATTGGAAAACAACAAACTAAACTTGCAAAACCCAAGACACAGAAGCAGCTTGATCCCCTGTCAGGAGGCAGACCCGGATGTGACCTTTGATGTCCAATTTCCTCATCTATAAAGCGCATGTATTTCCTAAGTGTTTCCTTCCTATGGATCTTGCTAGAATGAAATAAGGTAGTATCTATAAATGTACCTGGTGCTAAATAAAGGTGCATTTTTGTGCTTCTTATTAAAATAGGAAGTCAGATCTAAGTGGCTGGGGTTAGTGCTTGCAAGGAGGAAAGAATAGGGGGTGGGAGCCTGCACCACCAGCCTCAGGCCACACCCCATACTTCCAGTGCCTACTGAACCCCATCTTGGTCTCTGCTGACCCTGTGTGTCTGTGTGTGGGGGGGGGGGGGGGGGAGGGAGAGGAGGGGGAGGCGCCCACTTCATTTGCCTCCGAGAAGGAAAATTCCCACACCAGCTCCATCTATCCATCTCCCTACTTACTCCTCTCTGGGATCCGATCCTGTCCTTGTTACTTTATCGCCTCCATGAGCCTGTGTCTCCCTGAGGTTATTGTGCAGAATGCCCAGTGTAGCGCCCTGCCCCTGCTATCCATGCAGCATTTCAATGGCCCTCTCCAGCTCCCTGTGCCTCTCTCCTCTCCTCTTTGTTCTGCCTCTCAAGGGGCTGATTACCTTTCACAGGCATGCTCTGTGCGGTTATATCTTCAAAGTTAAAAAACGTGAGTGGCAGGCGAGGTCTCCAGCCTGAAGTTTCTCCTTCGAAGCCTTTTAACAAGTCACCAGGGACCGGAGGCCAGAAGCCAAGTCTGGAATACTGAGTCGGGGCCTGCAAGCTGCCCCTCTGGTTTCCTCCCGTGCTTGTCTGGAGGCCTCTGCCAGCAGGATGGAGCCTGCAGACACCTCACCTACAGAGAGGTCACGGCCTCATCGACGCTCACAGCTCCAGGGACACCCAGCGGCACGCCCCACACTCACCCTCCCACCCTAGCCACTCAGGCAAGACACACACTCTGCTCCCAACCCTCATGTACAGGCCTGCGCTCACACTCAGCCGCAGCGACCGCTGTTTACCGCGTGCCTGCACTTTGCTCTCAATCCGTGATACTAATTCTGTATCACCCCCAAGATCAAGACCCAAGGTCACACCGGGAGATGCTAGCCCAGGTCGGCCTCACTCTCAAGTCCAAGCTCTTTCTACCTCCCCACACCTGGCACAGCCTGGGGGCGTCCACCCCATGAAGCTCCCCGCCCCCCAGCTCGTGTCCCATCCCGGCGGCCTGACAGTCCCCCTCCCCAAAGCAGCCCCAGCTTGCCCCTCTCCAGCCCTCCTATGCCTGTCAACCTCTCCGCACCCAATGCTGGACCTTCTCTGGAGTTTTCTGACCTTAAGACGAGAATTAAAGTTTTAATCAGCAAATTACAATGTTCACCGAGCTCATGACGTGGGTAAATGTCACCAGGGGGGTTCCACGCCCCCACCTCCAGCCCCTCCAGTCCCTCCCCCACATTAACGAAGCCTGTGTCACTGCGGCAGGGGGCGGGGGGGGGGGCGCACAAGGACTGGGATGGGGCTTCCCGTTAGCTCCGAGCCAGCAGCATGTGGACTCAGCAGACAGGCACAGGCCGGAGCCGCTCCCTCCCTCCCGGCACAGTCTCGGGCGGGGCGTGGAGAAGCCCACACCACGGCCTCCAGGATGGCAGCTCTTACCGTCTGACTCCGCTAGAGCTGTCTCATTTGTAGCCTAAATAATTCACTGGCCAGCCTCTCCGGGAGCATTAAAAGAAAGACAAACCCGGCCCAGACCTTCTGCTCAGGAGGCGGCCGCACGGAGGCGGGCCAGGAGGCTGCGGGGGGACCCAGGCTGCGGAGAGGAGAGAGGGCCGCCCGCCTTCCAAAAACAGCTCGGGGCCTGGTTCCGCTCGGCACTCAGGCGAAGAATAGTTTTTATATTTTAAAAAGCTCTTTTCCAAGAACAAAACAAACGGAATAAACAGACACCAAAGGGAAAGATACAGGAAGAGGCTTTCCCTGGCCCAGAAGCATAAAATAGTTATCACCGGGTCCTTTCCAGAAAGGGTGCTGGCCCTAACCACTCCCCAGCCCGGAAGGTGGCGAACTCCCACCTGCCCTGGACCCCCTCGCCCAGTGACGGAGCCTCTTCAGTCGTCAGAGTTTCGATATCTGCAGTTTAGTGAGAAGCTGGGGTCCTTGCTCATCCCATCACCCAAAACCAAACCAAGTGGAAGCAAGAAGAGAAAGGCTGGAGTGGGATGGCCAGTCTCGGTTCTGCCGCCCAGGGGGAGGGGGAGGGAGGGAGAGAAGCAGGCAGGGACTGAGATTCAACCCATCGCCTGCGGGGCAGAGTTCAGCACTGTCCACCCCTCTCCGGTCTTGACACCCCTCCCCTCCAGACGCCTCCCCATCCCACTCTGCATCCCAGCCACCCCAGCTGAGCCCAGCAGTCCCCGAGGCTGGAATTCTCTCACCGATGAGCTACCCAGGCTCCTGGGTCTCAGTCCCTGAAGCCGGTGTGTCTGTCCACCCGGGAACCCCGGACAGAGGTTCCGCCCGGGACCTTGGAAGGGCTGACGACCCTCTCTCAGCGCCCGAGAGGTACAGCCTGAGGCTCTGGAAGAGAGGGGCCAGAGTGGGCAGCAGGGCTGCCAGCTCAGCGTCCAGCTGTAACGGCTCCGTGGGGCCCGAGGGCAGCGTGGAGATCCAGTGGCCCCACAGCCGGGTGGGTGGGCATTCTGTGTCATTGCAGGCCGGAGAGCAGTGACCTTGGTAAGATTCCTGCTGTGGGATCTCCCGAGGAAAATGTTACTGCTGTCCAGCAAGGTCTCTTCCGGAGATAAAAACAAATGGGCCCTAGCCAGCTTGGCTCAGTGGATAGGGCGTCGACCTGTGGACTGAAGGGTCCCCGGTTCGATTCCAGGCAAGGGCACGTGTCTGGGTTGTGAGCTCGATCCCAAGTAGGGGATGTGCAGGAGGCAGCTGATCAATGATTCTCTTTCACCATTGATGTCTCCCTCTCTCTCTCTCTCTCTCTCTCTCTCTCTCTCTCTCAAAAAAAAAAAAAAAAAAAAAAAAAAAAAAAAAAAAAAAAAAAAAAAGCAGCACGGAAGGCCGGGCGGGAATCTCTCATCCAGGCCACGTGAGAAGGTCCGCCATCAGAGAGCTGGAAGCCCATGCTGTGAGACCTTGGGCAAGTCACTTCCCCTCTCTGGGTCTGTTTCCTCGCCTGTTCAAACAAGCGGACAAGCAAAACCTTGAGGTGCTTGGGTGGCGGGGATTTGAAGGTCCTGTCCATCCCCCGCCCAACAACCAGCAGCCCAAACTGGGCCCCGCGTCTGCAGAAGCTTCTTGGGAAGTTCGGCTTCCTCGCTGCGTCCCCTCTACAAGCCTCGCCGGGCCCAGGTGAAGGCGACGCAGCGGTCTGCAGAGGGACACGTGTCTTCCTTCAGCACGCGTGCAGCTCTGCGGACGCGGACCCCCGGGAGGGAGAGAAGCGGCGGGGGGTCAGTGTGACCTCTTGTCCTTGTGCCCTGGGGCCAGGGAGTGGCTGGAGAGCTGTGGGAGTCTCCTCCTCACCCCCCCCAAGCCCACAGCCTGATGCCCCACTCTGCATCCGGCCACCGGGTACCACTGTCTGGTGCCATGCTTCCGTCAGTTCTCCGGCCTGACCGGACCCTCCTGGAGGGCAGGTGTTGTACCGTGACCCTCTGCTGCGTCCCCCAGGGGAGCCCAGCACACATGGGGTTCGGGACTGGAGGTCTGACCGTATCTGCTGAGCAGCTTAAGTGAGACGCCCCTGGAAAAGGGGTGTGTGTCCAGGTAAGGGAACCTCCACGATTGCTGGCTGGTAACTGGATACCATGCCTCAGTCCACGGCTCGACCAAGCTGTCCTGCCGAGGCCACGGCCCCAAGAACTATCGTGTCACCTGGAGAGCAAGGGAGGGGAGAGGTTAGAGACTGGGACGAATACTCCCCGGACAGGCCTGCCACACAGGCCATCGCTGCCATCCCTCCTCTTACCCCCGCCCCCCACCACCACCAAGCCCAGCTGCCGGAAACCTGACATTGTCCCTGGTAATAAATGTAAAAAGAGCTGGCTCTGAATGGTCGGAGCTATTAACTCATTGTCTACCTGAGATAGTGGTAGTGGAGGCCACTTTAGTTTGTTAATCCTATGTAAATTCTTGTTGATTTTCTGTTGTTGGAATTTCCCGCCTAAAGAGATGTCTTTGTCTCTGAATCTCAATAAAAGGAATGGTCAAAGGCCAGAGCAAGAGTAGAGTAGTCCTCCCCCTAGAGATGGACTCCCGCCTGGCGCCCATTTTCCCGAATTAACTCTCTTCCAGGCTCTCTCTTCATTTTTTTAAATATATATTTTATTGATTTTTTTTTTACAGAGAAGAAGAGAAAGGGATAGAGAGTTGGAAACATCGATGAGAATCATCGATTAGCTGCCTCTTGCACACCCCCCCACTGGGGATGTGCCCGGAGCCAAGGTACATGCCCTTGACCGGAATCGAATCCGGGACCCTTCAGTCCGCAAGCCGACGCTCTATCCACTGAGCCACACCGGTTTCGGCGTCTCTCTTCATTTTACTGTGTGGCCTTCTCCATCACCCCTTGTCCTGAGGGGCAGACAGCAAACCAGGAATCCTCCTGGGTCACAGCCCGGCAAGGCAGTTCAGCCGGAGGAAGGCAGGTGTGAGCCAGGGGAGCTGGGAATCCTGGGAGCGTGGAACAGGGCCAGTGGCCGGGGTGGCTGGGCAGAGTGGCCACAGCAACGTCCCCTCTGAATTACCTGGATAATTGCCTCAACTCCCTGCTTCGTTCCTGCGGACCCGCTATTTTCCAGAGGCAAACCCGCTCCAGGCAGCGGCGGCGACCAAGGCCTAGGGCGCCATCAGGAAGTTTGCCCAGAAGGACGGGCATTTCCAATCCAGAGGCCCAGGCCCCAGACCCCAGAGTCAAGACAGACCTGGGCCCTAACTGGTTTGGCTCAGTGAGTAGAGTGTCGGCCTGTGGACTCAGGGATCCCAGGTTCGATTCCGGTCAGGGGCATGTACCTTGGTTGCGGGCACATTCCCAGTAAGGAGTGTGCAGGAGGCAGCTGAATCAATGTTTCTCTCTCATCAGTGTTTCTAATGCTATTCTTCTCCCTTCCTCTCTGTAAAAAGTCAATAAAATATATATGTTTTTTAAAAAGACAGACCTGGGGGACTGTCTGAGGCTGTGGTCACATGGCTTGCAGGTCCCTCCTTAGCACCCCGGCGTCTCCCAGGGCTCCTGCGCCCCTTTTCCGTCCCGGGGGAAGGGGAGCGGGAGGGGCGTGCAGCATCCACGGGTGGGTACCTTGGTGGTTTTGACCTTGTGTCCGCGGCTGCAGCTCCACCCGGACAGATCCGGCAGCTCCCTGCACTCCTCCCCGGACAGGCAGGGCTCCATCTGGCACCACCACCTCTGCCGGACGATGGAGGCTGCGGGCGCAGAGCAGTGGGGGCGGTGCTAAGCCCTCTGGGAGCACAGGGTGTGGTGGGAGGGGGGTCTGTGCGGGATGAAGCGCCCACCTGCACACACCCCTGGCGTGAGGCCTGCAGTTCCCTCTCTTTCCCCACCCGGGCTGCCCAGAAAGGCCGGGCACACAACCGGGTCAGCCTCAGCCCACTGCGCCTGCCCCTCACCAGACAGCGTGGGGAGAAGGCGGGGACCTGGGTGGAAGGCAGCCCTCCAGCTGAGCGGCGGGTCCTTAGCGGAAGGCTCAGGCCCAACGCGCTCTTGGTGAATGTGAGCAGGTGTGCACGCCGTCGGAGGGGGGCACGGAGCGGGCGTGCACCGGCAGGTGGGCATGTGTGTGGTGTTGCTTCGTGAGCCTGAGAAAATGAGCCCGGGCCGAAACCGGTAGGGCTCCGAGGATAGAGCATCGGCCTGTGGACTGAAGGGTCCCAGGTTCGATTCCGGTCAGGGGCATGTACCTTGGTTGCAGGCACATCGATGAGAGTGTGCAGGAGGCAGCTGGTCGATGTTTCTCTCTCATCCATGTTTCTAACTCCCTATCCCTCCCTCTTCCTCTCTGCAAAAAATCAATAAAATGTATTTTTACAAAAAAGAAAATGGGCACGCAGGGGCCGTGGGAACGGGCGCAGGCCAGGCGTGAAGAAATGCACGGACGGGGGACTCCCAGGAGCCCCTGTGAGAGGGGGCAGGGGTCCAGGTGGGGGAGGCCTGGGAAGGAGGCCACGAATGCAGGCGTGAGTGTGCGGTGAGGAGTCTCACGGGAGGGGAGAGGATCCGTGTGAGGCCGCGCGTCTGTGTGTGTGCCAGGCCGTGGGTGCCAGGCCGTGGTGCCAGCCGCAGGGAGGTTTCCCGTCTGTGTGATGGCATGGTCAGGTCTGCCCGCCCCGGAGGCTGCCCCATCCTGAGAGCTGACATGGAAACCCTGAGCCGGGCAGGAAACTGGATCCCCAGCAGATGGCGAGGCCGGACAGACAGACCTTCTTATCTCTCCCGCCAGCCCGGCCGGCCCCACTCACCGTCCACGCAGGAGGGCTTTGCCCGCGTGGTGCCGGCCACCTGGCCGGACGCGCAGGAGCACCTGACGGTCTGGGAGCGCTCCTCCACGCGGTGCCGGTTGCAGCAGCGGTGAGAGGCCGTCACCTCGCAGCTGCCCTGCCTCCCGGGGGCTGGGGGGACCCGCGGAGGATCAGGGGCCTAGCTCAGGCCTGTGGCCCTGCCCCTCCCAACCAGCCCCCACCAGGCCCTCCTCCACCCCCTCCACCCTCCCCCCCCACCCCCCCCCCCCGGTCAGGGGAGGAGGAGGAAGCGAGGAGACCTTCCTGCTGCCTCCCTGTCCCTGTCCTGCCTGCCTCCCTGGTGAAGCCACACGCCTCACGCTCACGGCTGGGGGCAGAGAGGAAGGCCCACCAGCCCGCCCCTCCCTGCGCCCGCCGGGGGGCAGGGCCCCGGGCTAACAGTGCGTGGGAAGGATCATCCGCTTACACGGGCTCCATCCCAGAGGAAAAGCACAGAATTAGGCCAGGAGGCTCAGGGCACCCCCGCACCCACGGGGCCTCTCTCCCCGCAGAGCCCCTTCTGGCCCGAAGGGGAAGGTGAGCCACGCTCTGCCCACGTTTTCGGGGCCAGCGCAGCAGAGGGGGCGGCGCCTCCTGGGTGCAGAGCGGAGGAGGAGTCAGAACCCCGGAATCTGTGGGCCTGACTCAGATAGGAAGCTCTTCTTTCCACAGGGAGCTGTGGCTGCCCCCAGAGATCTGCCCGCTGTCCAGCGGGTGGGGTGCTGTCCAGTCTCCAGCATCCCGGGAAACTTCCCCCCGGGTCCCACCCCCTCCCCCAAACCTGTGGGGGCCGGAGGCGGCAGGGAAGCCGAGGCCAGAAGGGTCCACAGCCAGACCAGGCAGAGCGCCGGCAGCCAGCTGCCCGCGCTCTGGCTCCGCGCGGCCCTCCGACGCATCCTGCAGGGAGAGGCAAGCGCCTTGCTCGGACCCGGGCACCAGCAGCCCAGCCCCCTCGCCCCTCTCACATGTGTATACACGGGAGGAGGGTAGGGTGCACACCTGGTCCCCAGGCACCTCCCAGCCTGGCACAAACTCACGGAGGGAAGTAGTGAGTGCTGCCCTGACCGGTGTGGCTCAGTGGGTAGAGCGTCGGCCTGCGGACTGAAAGGTCCCAAGTTTGATTCCAGTCACGGGCATGTACCTTGGTTGCGGGAGGAGGTGTGCAGGAGGCAGCTGATAGATGTTTCCCTCTCATCGATGTATCTAGCTCTCTCTCCCTCACCCTTCCTCTCTGTGAAAAATCAATAATATATATATATATATATATATATATATATATATATATATATATATATATATATATTTTTTTTTTTTTTTTTTTTTTTTCTTTTAAAGACAGAAAGCAGTGAGTACTTTCCTAGCTGGAAAAGGAGCGGGGAGGGAGGCGGTCCTGCTGGACCCCTTTGTGGAGGGGACATTTAGGAGGGGCCTTGGAGGGGGAGCAAACACGGTCCCAGGGCGGGCTGGGCCCTGGAGGAACCATGATGCTGACTCCCAGCTCCGGGGCACACTGCTACACTCAGGAAGCCCAGGTACACATGAAACAGCCACCAATCAAGGACTGGCTACATGTGCTGGAGAACATGGTACAAACGCTGTCCGTCCAGGCAGCTGTGGGAAAGTTTGGTAAATAGGTTACGTGCCTCCGACGATAATCCACTATTAGGGGAGGGAGGGCAGGGAAGCAAAGGGCAGGGCGGTGTGTGTAAATGTGTAAAAGGGAGGGCGTGTATGTGCTGTGCACATGTGCATACGCTAGCTCTGAAGACGTTAAAAAGAAGAAAAAAAAATCCTGATGGCATTGGTTGTCACCGAGAAGGGGAACTACTTGGCTGGGAGATAGGAAGGGAGAGAGACAGGTCCCTGTCACGCTTTTTGCGTTTTGAGCCTAGCAATGCAATGTAAACAAATCTGCATTCAAAAAGGAAGACCTGTGAATAGTAGTCAAATGACTTGCCATCCCCACTGCACCCCCTTACCTCTGCTTCCTTCCCCTTCCCTTCACCTCCTCCATCCTCAGTGGTTCGGGCCCCCCAAACCCACCCCAGAAGCTGGGCTAGAAACGGAGAGGACCCAGGGAAGCAGAGGCACGGGCAGCGGGGGGCAGCGGGTGGGCAGCGGGCGGCTGCTGGGCCCCGGGCATGGCTGGGCTCCTGCAGGTGCCAGCACCGTGCGGGAACCACACAGGCCACACCCAATGCCAGTGCCTGGCTGCTCCCTTGGCAGGGTGCTGGGTCTCCCTACACCCCCCGTCCTCCCTCTTCCATGACCGCCTGACTCACCTTTCCCGGCTTCCGCCTGTTCATCCACGGGCCTCGGGCTCACTCACCTGGACAAGCAGGAAAGGTCCTTCAGGGCTGAAGGGACAGGGGAGTGACTGGCCCTCCTGAGGGCAGAAGGGGGGTGGAATGAGCTCTGAAGCGGAGCCCAGGATGCCAGGCTCTCCTGCGCCCTGGGAACCTGCAGGGTCCGTGCAGGCTGTGGGAGCATGGAGGGTGCTGAGCCTCGGAAGAGGAGCTGAGCGAATAGGGCTGATGGTAGGAGGGATCTAAGAACCATCTGTCACCTGTCTGGCCTCGGGAGGGGGCTGGAGGGCAGGGCAGGGGTCCGGAGCACAATCCTACAAGACACTGCTCAGAGGGGCACCTGGGATGGAACCCAAGGTCCTGAATCCTCTTTGCTGCCACCGCTTACCCCCCTCGCACCTGCTTCCTGGACTCACCCGGAGATGGCTCAACTCCAACACCCTCACCCCCACTCCCACTCCAGGGGGCCAGCCGGGGGTCCCCCAGCTCTCTGAGCCCCAGCGCCCTCTCCGTTTCTTCCCAAGACGCCTCCTCCCTCAGCCTCCAGAGGGAGGTGGACGGAGGCAGGCAGGAGGACATGGCCCAGCCAGAGCCCAGACCTCGGAGTCCGGGGCCCCCGAGTGAGTGAGGTCCAGAGAAGACCCGGGGGCAGAGGGTGAGGCGGTGCTGAGACCCTGGGGATCGGGCGCTCTGTGGGCAGAGGGCGCCCCAACTTCTAGGGGGAACCTCTCCTCGGAGGGGGCGTCTCCTGTCCTGGCCCCGTCGTTACAAATGCAGCTTCCTCTTCTCCCGGGAGCCCGCGGCCCGTTTCTCTCTGAGCTGCCACCCTCCCCAACCCACCGGTCCTCTCGCTCCATGAACCCCCAGAGCCAAAAGGTGTTGGGGAGCTGAGGGGGGGCATAAAGGCTGGGTTTTCTAGCATTCCGTCCTCTCCTTCAGAGAGAGCTGAGAAAAGAAGCTTCTGGATGAGCTCTCGGGCTGAAACTCCTGCCTCAGTTTCCCCTACCGGGATCCAGGCTCTGGGGAGGCAGAGTGAGCTGGCCAGCCTGCCAGCATGGGGGTGAGGATGGGAACCACAGACTTTCCACCCTCCCCCTCCCTCCCGGACCCGCTCAGTCCTCCAATCCCGAGCCCCAGCCCGGGACTCCCTACCTGTCCCCGGCGGGGCGGGCGGCCAGCCCGGTGCGGTCTGGTCCGGAGCCCGGGACCCTCCCCAAGCGGCTGCGTCCCCAGGGCGGCCAGGCTCCGACCCAGCGGCCCCACCGCCGCGCCCGCCCCTCTCCGCGCCCCGGGGAGCGCGGCCGCCGGGGGGTCCGAGCTCCGGCCGCGGCCCGGGAGGGAGCGTGCAGCCGCGTCCCCCGCGCCCGGCCGCCTCCTCCCGGGCAGCGCGGGTCGCCGGGCGGGGGCGCAGCGGCCCCTGGCGGCCGGGCTGGACGCGGGACGAGAGGACCTCCGGCTTCAGTGGTTGGATGAGGGCGCACCTCCCTCTGCGGGCTGGGGTCCCTCAGAGAGGGTCCCCCAAATTCTCCAGGGGGTGCGGCTTCCCGGGGGTGGGGGCGCCGAGTGTGGGCAGTGATTGCGCAGACCCTCAGGGCGTTTGAGCCTCGAAGATTCTATAACTGCACTGTCCAACACTGCAGCCACTCACTGCAGTGTAGTTTTAAAAATATATATATAATTTTATTGGCTTTTCGCAGAGAGGAAGGGAGAGGGATAGAGAGTTAGAAACATCAATGAGAGAGAAACGTCCACCAGCTGCCTCCTGCACACCCCCCACTGGGGATGTGCCCGCAACCAAGGTACATGCCCTTGACCGGAATCGAACCTGGGACTGAGCCAAACCAGTTTCGGCTGTTATGTAGTTTTAAAACGTAAATAGAAAATCAGCCCAGCTGGTGTAGCTCAGTGGTTGAGCCTCCGCGTAGGAACCAGGAGGTGACAGCTGGATTCCCCGCCCGAGCACCTGCCAGGTTGCGGGCTCACTCTCCAGGAGGGGGTGTGCAGGAGGCGGCCAATGTATAGTTTTCATCATTGATGTTTCTATCTCTCTCCCTCCTTCCCAGAAATCAATGAAACTATATTTAAATAGAAACAGAAATAAAATAAAATTTAAAAATGGAGATTCTCGTTTGCACTCACCACATCTCGAGTGCTCAGTAGCCACAGGGAGCTGGGGGCTCCTGGATGGGGGCAGAAACGATGGAGCACATTCTGGCCATGGCACACAGTGAGGGGTGTGAACACCAACGTGGGAACCAAACCCTCGAGACCCACTTTCTTCGTCATAAAAACCGTGACGTAATTGCAGTTTTGCAATCTCTGCAGGGTAAGGTGTTGGACGTGCACAAGCGTTAGACAGATGGAAGAAGGTGGTGGTCTGTGATTTTGTCTCAGGAGGAGGGACAACTCTCTTAGGTTAGGAGGGCTTTGGGGTCAGGGAAATGGAGAGGGAAAAGGCAGGAGGAAAAAGGTCAATTCTGAGCTGAGCCCCTGGGTGTGGCCCGGATAACCGGGCCGTAAGGATGCCCAGCCCCCTCCCTGGCTCAGGCCTGACACTGAGCCTCATTTCTTAGCAGAAGAGAACATCTCACAAGCCTGCTTCTTCACAATCCTCTCCCACCCCCACACCCCGACCCCCACACCCTCACCTCCCTACCCCCACCCCTGCTCCTCCTTTTCCTTCTCAATCTCTGCTGCCTCAGGGAACCTTCTCACCAGGTTCTGGGTCAGTCTGAGGAGGAGGAGGGGGAGGTTGCTGATGCCAAGAACAGGAAGTGAGAGATTCAGGGAGAGGAGAGCCGGAGTGAGGATTTGGCTCTGGCCAGCAGGCTGCTCTGGAGCCCGGGAGAGCTGTTGACATCCCTGCTGACCATCTGGTGCTGGAACCAGGGCTCCCCGGGCCCTGGCCCTGTGGTCCACGCCTGCAGCCACACCCCGCTGGGTGCTGCAAAGCCCAGGGGTTGGGGAGCTGGGCGACACAGAGACGTGGGTAGCAACCTGTCCCAGAAACACTGAATAATAAAAATAGCCAGGCTGTTATAGTTTGTCTCCAGTCTCTCTGGCTTGCTGCTGATGCCACTGAGCTGAGCATGGGCGCAGACGGGAAGGAAGGAAATGCCCACAGCAGCAGCTGTGGTGAGAGCAAATTAAAAAATAAAATAAAACCCATTTGAGTGAGCTGCCGGTGCCACTCGACGTGCTATGGACTCATCTGTCTTCTTGTGACTTCTTCTCCTTTGGCGCTCTCTGGCCTGAGTGCAGGCGTCACTCCAGAAAGCCTGGAATCCGGAATGGCCATTGTGAGGTTTCTATGTGAAAGCTACTCTTCGGGGGGGCACAGGTCAGCCCCCGGACAGAGAGGATGACGGTCAGGAAGCACACCGCCCACAGAGCCTGGAGGTGGAGTCCCAACCGTGACCCGGGTGCGAGTGGCCCTGAGGGCTACCCCTGACTTGCGTTAGGACCACGAGGGCCTTGTCTCCATTTGGACTGGGGGGGGAGGGGTAGTGATCAACTCCCGGATTCCACGGCCCCCCTGCCCGTGAGGGAGCTTAGCCTGGCCTCTGTCTCCCCCTGATGGCAGAGGCAGAACTTGTCCGGACTGCTCCCAGCCTCTGCCTGAACCCCCCTCTCATAAGCATCCACCTCCCTCTTAAGCCTTCCTCCTGATCCCCGGGAATCAGCACGGTTCTTCAGACAGAATCGCTTGGGCGTCCAGGGGCTGACAGGAGTGTGACCTCTTAGGGCAAGCCATGTAAAATGACAGGAGCGTCATCCGTAAAATGAAAAAATAAAACCCATTTGAGCCCTCGCCGGTCTGGCTCAGTGGATAGAGCGTCGGCCTGAGGACTCAAAGGTCCCATGTTCGATTCCGGGCAAGGGCATGGACCTTGGTTGCGGGCACATCCCCAGTAGGGAGTATGCAGGAGGCAGCTGGTCGATGTTTCTCTCTCGTCGATGTTTCTCTCTATCTCTCTCCCTTCCTCTCTGTAAAGAAACCAATAAAAATATATATATATAAAAAAAAAAAAGAAAAACATTTGAAGGCTGGTGTTCGGTATACACGGCCTCGTGTGTGGGCAGTACTTTGCAGAGGGCATGCTAAGTGGAGAGTCCTCCGGACGGTATTCCTGTTCTCACTCCGGCTGTGGCCGGGGGTCCGGAGACAGACCGTGGAGGAGGCGTGGCCGCTACCGCCCGGATCCAGGCGGTCTTCACGGAGCCCGGGGGCCAGCGGCGCCTCCGCTCGGCCTGCTCAACTCCAGCCTGTATGGCCACCACTCCCGCATCACATCCTCACCACACACCCCATCACACCCCGCATCACACTCCCGAATCACACCCGCCGCATCACACCCCCATCACACCCCCATCGCACCCCCCGCATCATCACACCCCCCATCATACCCTCCCATCGCACCTCCATCACACCCCCCCATCGCACCCCCGCATCACACCCTCATCACACCCCGCATCGCACCCCCGCATCAACCCCCGCATCACACCCCCATCGCACCCCCGCATCACACCCCCATCACACCCCCCATCGCACCCCCGCATCACATCCCCATCACACCCCCATCGCACCCTGCATCACACACCCCGCATCAACCCCCACATCACACCCCGGAATCACACCCCCTCATCACACACCCCACTGCATCCCCGCATCACACCCCGCATCACACCCTCATCACACCACGCATCACACCCCCGCATCACACCCCCCATCATACCCCCCCATCGCACCTCCATCACCCCCCCCCCCGCACCACACCCAGCTCCCGCAGCCCCACCCGGAGGCGCCGTCACCCCCAGTGCTCCACGCCCCGCGGCCCAGGGGCTGACAGGCGTGTGACTGGCGGCGGGACCTCTTCGGGCTGTGTAAAGGGACAGGAGCGTCATCCGTGACATTAAAGACAAATAAAACCCGTGTGAGCCCAGCCCTAGGCGGTCCGGCTCAGTGGGCAGAGCGATGGCCTGAGGACTCACGGTCCCCGAAGCGGCCGGCTGCGCTCGGAGCCGCTCGCCGGCCCCGCCGGCCCCGCCCGCTCCCCCCCCCCCCCCGCAGGCCGGCCCGGGCGCCAGGAGACCCCGCCCCCCGTCACAATGGGCGGTTCCAGCCTGTCCGCTCCGGAGCCGGCCGGACCGCGGCTGCTGCGCTCAGCGCCCTCCTCACCGCAGCGGACCGTCCAGCCCCCAACCCCCAAGAGCCGGAGCGGGGCCCGCGGGGCGGGGGCGGGGCCGGCGGGCGGGGGCGGGGCCGGAGCAGCGGAGGCGGGGCCGGCGGGGCGGGGGCGGGGCGGGAGCAGCGCCGCCCCCGGCCATGGGGCGGGGCCGCGGCGGCGGGCGGGGCCGGGCGGCAGCATGCTGAGCCGGGTGCGCTCCGCCGTGGCGCACCTGGTGAGCTCGGGGGGCGCCCCGCCCGCGGGCCCCAAGTCCCCGGACCAGCCCGAAGCCGCCTCGCTGCTGCCCGCCGTCCCCCCGGAGGCGCCCGGGAGCCCCCCGGCCAAGGCGGGGAGCGCGAGCGGGAGCGCGGCGGCGCCCGCAAAGGCAGCGGAGGCTCGAGCGAGCTTCTCGCGCCCGACCTTCCTGCAGCTGAGCCCCGCGGGGCTGCGCCGCGCCGACGACCACGCCGGCCGCGCCGTGCAGAGCCCCCCGGACACCGGCCGCCGCCTGCCCTGGAGCACGGGCTACGCCGAGTGAGCGAGCTGCGTCCCGGGGGCACCCCGATCAGGGGCACCCCACCCCCTCACCTCGGCGTCCCGGGAGCTGGGGGCACCGACCCCGCCCCGCCCCGCCCCGCCCCGCTGGGTGCCAGCAGCGCCTTCCCCCAGACCCCCTGCGATCGGTGACCCCGGGCTGCGGGCCGCCCTCTCCCAGCCTCCCTCCCGCCGGTGGGTGCGGCGGGGCCGCCTTCCCGGGGCCTCCCGGGTCTCAGGCGCCCCGCGCCGCGCCGCCGCCGGTTCTCCCCGGAGGCGGGGGACCCGCGGAGGATGAATGAATCGGCCGGTTCTCGGTCCGGCCCGGGTTCTAGCCGCGGAGGGAGGGGAGGTTCCCAGGAGCCGAAGCCTCTCTCCCTAGAGGCCGGTGGCGGCGCGGAGACCCGCTCCCCGACCTCCCGACCCCCGCGCCCCAGTTCCCGGCCCCGCTCCCCGCTCCCCTCCCCCTCCGCGCCCTGAAATAGCCGCGACGCCGGCGGCCGCGCTTCCCGGGCCGGGGCGGGCGGCGGGGAGCCCCTCTGAGCGCCCCTCCTGGCGGGGAGGGGCCCGCGGGCTCCCCGGCTCTGTGCCCGGTTCGTGCCTGTGCTGGGCGAGCGGAGCACCGAGGCCGACGGGGGTGCTGCCGGCCTCGCCGAGGGGGCGGGCGGCGGGGGACCCGTGGCCGCCAGCTGGTTACCTTCCTGTTCGGGAAGCGCTGGTGGTGCGGGGACCCCTGCGCGGGCCAGGTGGACTTTCCCCCCGCCCGCCCCATTTCAGTTCCTCTTTCCGGACCCGGGCCGGAGCGCTTCCTCCTGCCAGAGCAGCCGAAACTTTCCCTGGGGTTTTAGGATGAGGGTGGGCGTGCCCAGGAGGGTGGGGTGCTGTGCACCCGGCGCCAGAGGAATCGATCGATTGGGTTTCGGGTGGGAAGCGGGGTCTTGACAGGCGGGGAAGTGAGATCTCATGCTCCCAGCAGGCGTCCCCCTCCAGCCCACCTCACCCTCCGCCCCCCCAGCCCCCTCAGGGATGCCCGCTTGGCCAGGGATGGGGACCTGGCCAGACAGTCCTGCTGCCGTCCTTCCTGTGGGGCCTGACACCCAGACAGAACTCCCTGTGCCTCGCCCTGCCTCCCTTCTCCTCCTCACCCTGGCCCGGATCCCAGGTGGCCTTGACCTTTCTGGGCTTGGCCAGCAGGCCGGAGAGTGTGTGTCTGTCTGAGGCGGGGGTTATTCCAGGCCCTGGTCTGGTGGTGTCCAGCCTGATGTGGCCACTCTGGCCTGGCAGGGTCATCAATGCTGGCAAGAGCCGGCACAATGAGGACCAGGCGTGCTGCGAAGTGGTGTACGTGGAAGGCCGGAGGAGCGGCTCCGGGGCGCCCAGGGAGCCCGGCCCCGGCCAGGTAAGCCCCCAGCGCCCTCCAGAGGCAGCGAGGCACCTCTGCCCAGGGGTTCCGAGTATCCGGTTTTAAATCTGAAACAAGCCAAGACCCACCTCCTCCCTCCCCAGCTTTCTGTCTTTGGCTCAGAATCTCTATCTGGCATCGATTCTACCACGTCGGTCTGAATGTAGTTTTCCACTTACAATGTAGACGCACGCGCACGTACGGATGTCTGGGTTAATCACTGGTGCTTATCTTTGCCTTGGTGATTAATTAACACATCCATAAATACTTGAGCATCCTCCGAGTTTGGCTTTTCTGATGCTTGACTTCCTGATTCAATCTAGGCCCTTGGTAAACGGGTGAGTAAATCTAACATTCTTCTATTTCCAAGCTCCGACCTCCTCTCTAACGTGTGTGTGGATGCCCGGGGGCTTGCTCTTCTCCCTGCATAAAACACACCCACCCATGCCAAAGCCGGTGTGGCTCAGTGGATAGAGCGTCGGCCTGTGGACTGAAAGGTCCCAGGTTCCATTCCGGTCAAGGGCATGCCCGTTGGTTGTGGGCACATCTCCAGAAGTGGGTGTGCAGGAGGCAGCTGATCGATGTTCCTAACTCTCTATCCCTCTCTCTTCCTCTCTGTAAAAAATCAATAAAATTTCTTTAAAAAAAAAACACAAAACAAAACAAAAACACACCCACCCATCACTCCTCTCCGCTCTTCCTCACCAGGGACTCTGCTTCTACTACTGGGGTCTGTTTGACGGGCACGCGGGGGGCGGAGCTGCCGAGATGGCCTCCAGGCTCCTGCACCGCCACATCCGGGAGCAGCTGAAGGACCTCGTGGAGATCCTGCAGGACCCCTCACCACCCCCCCTCTGCCTCCCATCCACCCCGGGCACCCCGGCTTCCTCGGACCCCCCTCACTTGGTTGGTCCTCACTCCTGCTGGCCTTCGCAGAAGGAAGTGACCCACGAGAGCCTGGTGGTGGGGGCCATTGAGAGTGCCTTCCAGCTCATGGTGAGCGGGTGGCCAGGGCCGAGGGCCTGCTAGGCCAGGTCTGTGTGGGAGTCAGGTGGCCTGTGGGGGGGGGGCCTGACAACCTACAGTACCTGTGAAAGCCTGATCCTTGGGTCCGAGGGGAAGGAGGAGGAGGGCATTCACGCATGTCTTCCCTCCCGTCCTCCAGGGCGGCGTGGCTGGGCTGGCTGACTTTGGATGGAGGGGCGTGGCTGTGCGCCTGGGACCTCTTCTTCATCCATCCCCTCTGACTCTTCCCCACGTGACAGGATGAGCAGATGGCCCAGGAGCGGCACGGCCACCAAGTGGAGGGGGGCTGCTGTGCCCTGGTTGTGGTGTACCTGCTGGGCAAGATGTACGTGGCCAATGCAGGGGACAGCAGGTATGGGGGAACGGAAGAGAGAGGGGGGTGGGTGTTAAGAATCAAAGGGGGAGGAGGTCAGGAGGGATCACAGACAGAAGGAAGGGCCACGTGGGGAGGAGAGATAGGGGTGGAGATGCTACCCTGTTTCCCCAAAAATAAGACAGTGTCTTATATTAATTTTTGCTCCCAAAGACGCGCTAGGTCTTATTTTCAGGGGATGTCTTATTTTTCCATGAAGAAGAATACGGTACACAGTTATTGTTAAATGGAAATAAAGGACATTTATTACCTGTATACGGTGCGGTAGTACGGTAGTTGTCAACACAAACCAGGCAAACTGTGAATCCTATAGTATCAAGAACGTACTCATTTTTTTCAATGACAATCATGTCATCTTATGGAACATCATCAGAACAATCCAATTCCTGATTTTCCTGGTGAATTTCTTGTGACTCCAAATCTCTCATGTTAAGCAATAGCATTCTGAGACAGAGCCTGGGGGGGGGGCTTATTTTCGGGGGGATGCCTTATGTTTCACTCAGAAGGAAACCTGTAAGTAGGTCTTATTTTCGAAGGATGTCTTATTTTCGGGGAAACACGGTAGATCCTAAGGGACCCTTACTGGAAGGCCTGGTCTTCCTGGAATTCTCCACCAGGGGGCCGAAGAGAGCCAAGCCCCACACCTTTCCTTTCTCCGGGCAGGGCCATCATTGTCCGGAATGGTGAGATCATTCCAATGTCCCGGGAATTCACCCCGGAAACGGAGCGCCAGCGCCTCCAGCTGCTGGTAAGTGTGACCTGAGCTCCTGCCTCCCATTCTCGATTGAGTCTTCTTGTGCCTGTTTGTACCCCGCACCCCGAGGGCTCCCCACCACCACCACCGCCACCACCACCGCCGCACGGACAGCCCCTCACCCCTCACCCCTCACCGAGGAGTGCGGAGCCTCGCTGGGGCCGGTGGAGGGGAGGACGGAGCAGGAAGGAGTGTGGGCTGCTCCGTGCTCCCGCGGGGGCCCCAGCTGAGGAAGGAAGTGGAGGCAGAGGCGGGGAGGGACCCGCACAGGCCCTGAGAGGCAACTCGGTGAAGCCCTGGCCTGGGAGCCGGTTCCAGGGCTTTGCTAGTTGAGTGACTTTGGACAATCCCCTTCGACGTGTACCTGTGGTTCCTGCCTGAAGGGCTGCAGAAAATGAGCTAATGCCTGTTCACGTTAGACATTGTGCGGGGCTGCCATAATCCCCAGGCCGTGCTGTCAGCTAATCCCTACCCCCTGGCCCTCTGCTCTTGCCTGGCCGCTCCGGCCCCCAGGGCTTCCTGAAACCAGAGCTGCTGGGGGGCGAGTTCACCCACCTGGAGTTCCCTCGTCGAGTTCAGCCCAAGGAGCTGGGCCAGAGGATGCTGTACCGGGACCAGAACATGACCGGCTGGTAACACTTCCCTCAGAGCTGGGCCGGTTCCCATGGCAACGCAACCAGGCCCTGGCCGACAGCAAGGTGGAAGCCAGAGGCTGGGCCAGGCTGGGAGCTGGAGGGGAGGATGTGGCCCTTCTTAGGGGTTTGGGTGAGGAGCTCGGCTCCCCGGGGAGAGGGATGCCTGGGTGATGCCTCCTCTACTCCCCCCTCCCCAGGGCCTACAAACACATCCAGCTGGAGGACCTCAGGTTTCCTCTGGTCTGTGGGGAGGGCAAAAAGGTAAACCCCTCCCCGGTAGAGGACCCACCCGGAGTTGTCTAGGGCTGGGAGGGAGGGGCCTGGTTCCCCCCCCCCCCAAGGGCAGGGGAGGGAGGGGCCTGGTTTCAGAGCCCGGGAGGGAGCCAGTGTGGGCAGCGCTCCTCCCTCGTCCTGTTCAGGCTCGAGTGATGGCCACCATCGGGGTGACCCGGGGCCTGGGAGACCACAACCTCAGGGTCTGCAGTTCCAGCCTGCCCATCAAGCCCTTCCTGTCCTGCTTCCCGGAGGTGAGTCCTCCTTACCTCCCCCTCTCCCTCCCCCTTCTGGGCTCGGGCTGGCTCTGGCCCCGGATCCCCTTCCCCGGAAGCTCCCTCTCCACCTCCTTCCCCACCAGGTGCGCGTGTATGACCTGACGCAGTACGAGCACTGCCCGGACGACGTGCTGGTGCTGGGGACGGACGGCCTGTGGGACGTCACCAGCGACACCGAGGCGGCTGCCACGGTGGACAGGGTGCTGTCGACCTACGAGCCCAATGACCCCAGCAGGTAGGGGTTGGACGGACATCGAGGGGTGACGATGGGGAAGGAAGGGGCTGAGGGAAGCAAGGAGGGCCTGTGTGTTTGCCTCCCTTCGGCCATGCTGGTACATGACTGTGCACGTGTGCTCCTGGCAGGTACACAGCGCTGGCCCAAGCCCTGGTCCTAGGGGCCCGGGGCACCCCCCGGGACCGTGGCTGGCGTCTCCCCAACAACAAGCTGGGTTCCGGGGATGACATCTCTGTCTTCGTCATCCCCTTGGGAGGGCCCGGCAGCTACTCCTGAGGGGTCCAGGCCCTGACCCTCCCACCGCCAGCCCGGCCTCTCCAGGCTTGGTCCTCTCCCAGCCCAGATTCTGGACTTGAGCCTCCCCTTGGCCTTCTTTGGTGGTGATTGAACTGAAGAAGGGGTGTCCGTTAGATCCCAAATCACAGCTACTGACAAATAAACCAGATGGATTAAAAATGTGTCTTCATTAAAAAAATAAATAAATGTGTCTTCATTTCTTTGAGTAGGAATCGAAAAGGTCACAGAAAGGTCCTTGGGGCGGGAGAAAGTATGCCAGAACAGTCCTGGTGTACAGCGTTTCCTATTTGCCCCCTTATTCCTACCCCCACCGACACGAAAATGTCATGTCCCCAGTTTCTGTCTCCCCTGCTTTGCTCTTCCCACGCCATGCACTCCCCTCACCCACCTGCTGCTGGCATCCAGGTCGGCACGTCCAGCCCAGACCTCTCCCGAGCTTTAGGCCCCCATGTCCCTCTCATCTCCAGAACATGGAGGCATCCCCCAGGCACCGCAGCTCAACATGCCTTGGACTGAACTCGCCACTTTCTCGACACCCATGTATGTGCCTTCTGTCCCGTCATCTCAGCAGCTCAAGTTGGAAACTGGTCTAGGCACTGGTCACCCTGGCTTCCGTCTCTTCCTCATCAAGCTAACCACTATTTTTAAAAATAAATATATTTTACTGATTTTTTTACAGAGAGGAAGGGAGAGGGACAGAGAGCTAGAAACATTGATGAGAGAGAAACATCGACCAGCTGCCTCCTGCACACCCCCTACTGGGGATGTGCCGGCAACCAAGGCACAGGCCCTTGACCGGAATCGAACCTGGGATGTTTCAATCCGCAAGCCGACGCGCTATCCACTGAGCCACACCGGTTTCGGCATAACCACTATTTTTGATTATATATTTTAAAGACATTTCCTATTTCTCCACTCATTTCTGCCCCTGATGTCAGTACCTTCGTGTTTTTACTGCATTAGCTTCCTAACGCGTCTCCCATCCCTGTACCGGGCCACTCCCCTGTTTTCCCCTACTAGACCCGGACATAGCAGACAGTGTCCTTTCTGCAGAGTGAGTCTGAGTCGGCTGTTCCCCTGAGGACATTTCCGTGGCTCCTTCCTGCCATCTAGAAGAACACTCGGTTCCTGAGGGTGGTGGCATACAGGGGCCTCCAGGATCTATCTGGCCACGGCTTCCTCCTGGAGCCTCACCACCCACCACCACCCTCTCTTGGGGTTTCCTTTCTGTGACTGTGGCCTGCGGTAGCTCCAACTGTTTAAAAGCTAAAATCTAGCCGAAACCAGTTTGGCTCAGTGGATAGACTGTCGGGTCTGTGTACTGAAGGGTCCCAGGTTCGATTCCGGTCAAGGGCATGTACATTGGTTGAGGGCACATCCCCGGTGGGGGGTGTGCAGGAGGCAGCTGGTCGATGTTTCTCTCATCGATGTTTCTGGCTCTCTGTCCCTCTCCCTTCCTCTCTGTAAAAAAAAAATCAATAAAATGTATTTTAAAAAATAATAAAATAAAATCTAAAATCTACACATCACTTAGAACACTTCACCTGTCCTTCAGGGCTGGGTGTCCCACAGCCCGTGCATGCCCCGCTCAGAGACTGCCTCTTTTATTACTGTCTGTGTTAGGAGCTGGTTTGAAGCAGCATCGAAGAGCCAGAGTTCTTCCCCTAACTGGTGTGGCTCGGTGGATAGAGCCTCAGCCTGCAGACTGAAGGGTCCCAAGTTCGGTTCCGGTCAAGTGCATGTGCCTTGGTTGCAGGCACATCCCCAGTAGCTGATTGATGCTTCTCTCTCATCGATGTTTCTAACTCTCCCTCTCCCTTTCTGTAAAAAAAAAATTTTAAAAAAATCAATACTATATACACACACCCACACACCCACACACACCCCGTATTTTCCGGCGTATAAGACGACCCCCTAATTTTACAGTTAAAACAGGTTTAGGCCTATATTCGCTGTATAAGACTACCCCCCACTTCCGAGGCAACACCAGTTCTTTTTTAAATAGACCGCCTCTCTGACTCTGGCCAATCTGAGCAGGCTGTTTACTAGAACACAGTGTAGCTTCAGGTATAGAACATATATAATTTGCATGCATAAAAGCCTGCTCATAAGGCTGTTCGTGTATATAGAGCCAGGCCCATGCAGTAAGGGTTCAATAACTGTTAGTTATCTTTTAAGTTGACTGTATTCTGAATTTAGACTAAATTCTTTAAAAAAAAAAAAATATATATATGGCTGAAACCGGTTTGGCTCAGTGGATAGAGCGTTGGCCTGCGGACTGAAAGGTCCCGGGTTCAATTCCGGTCAAGGGCATGTACCTTGGTTGCGGCATATCCCCAGTAGGGGGTGTGCAAGAGGCAGCTGATCGATGATTCTCTCTCATCAATGTTTCTAACTCTCTATCCCTCTCCCTTCCTCTCTGTAAAATATCAATAAATTATATTTATAAAATATATATATATATATTTATATTTATTGATTTCAGAGAGGGAGGGAGAAGGAGAGAGAGCTAGAAACATCAGTGATGAGAGAGCATTACTGATTGGCTGCCCCCTGCGTGCCCCATATCTGGGATGGAGCCTGCAACCCAGGCATGTGCCCTGACTGGGAATCGAACCTTGACCTCCGGGTTCACAGGTCTACGTTCAACCCTTGAGCCATGCAGGCCGGGCTAGACCGTGAGTTCTTGGAAGGCAGAGATTGATCTAAACTGAGCACACATCTCTTAAGTCCACACTCAAGGCCTGGGGACCAAAGTGCTCGGACCTCGGCTTCATTTATTAAGTGTGGGTTGCACTTCGGCTCCTAAAAGTCCCCATAGCTTCTAACATTCACTCACTCAGCAGATAACCTGGTGGAACCCATCGCTGTGCCCCGCACGGTGGGGAGGAGGGACAGGATGGAAGGGCACGGGGCCAGCAGGGAGAAAGCACCAGCTTGGGAGCTGCACAGACCCAGTGTCTGAATTCTTGCTGAGTCACATAGAAATGGCCAAAGTCGAGGCAAACCACTAGGCTTCTCTGAGCCTCAGTTTCTCGCAGGCAGAAGGGCGTGGGTACACTTACCCAAAGGTCTATAGTGCGTAGTAGGAGCGCGGGGCTATGCAGTGTGCCCAGCACACACTAACGACATGTCCTCACCTTCCGCCCACCTCCTCAGCCATCTGTCGGGGAAGGACACACATGTGAAGGTAGATTCCCAACGCATTCATTCAGCCCTGGCGGCACCGCAATCATGCTGTTCGGGTGGGAGGGTGGGCTCGGAACTCCCAGCTGGGGATCTGGGTTTCCTGGAGCCCTTTGGTGGGCAGGTGGGTGGGAGGGAGGGAGGGAAGGAGGTGGGGAGGGAGGTAGGGAGGGAGATAGGTAGGGAGGAAGGGAGGGTGGGAAGGTGGGGAGGTGGGGAGGTGGGGAGGGAGGGAGGGAAGAAGGGAAGGAGGGAAGGAGGGAGGGAGGGAGGAATTGGACTCCTGCAAAGTCCAGGCGAGGGAGAAGGAGGAAAATCGTGAAGACCCTCCCGGCGGGTCTCAAAGACTCTGAAAAGTTCTCAGACTGGGGTGGGGGTGACCCTGGGCTGCACAGACTCCGCCAAGACCCTCCCGCGGGCCCAGGCGGTGCGGCCACGCGGGGGCAGCAGCGGCCTCTCCGACCGACCGCACCCGGGCGCCGCGCAACTTTCCCGACGCCGGGCGCCCCGGCCGGACAGCCGGGCAGCGGGGCCGCGGGGCCGGGGCCGGGGTCCGGGGTTCGGGGTCCAGGGTCCGGGGTCCGGGCAGAGGGCCGCCCGCCGCCCGCGCCTCCAGCCCTCGCAGCCCCTCGGACCCCGGCGCGGGGCCCGGGCCCGGGATCGGACAGGCGGAGCCCGGCCCGCCCCTCCGCCCCGCCCTCCTCCGTCCCTCCCGGCGGGCGGAGGGCGGGGCGCGGCCCTGGGTCAGTCTCCGCCTCGGGCACCGGCCGCGCAGCTGGAGGCGGCCGAGCGGAAGGTACCGGGGCCGGGCCGGGGTGCGGGGCGCGGGCCGGGGTGCGGGGGCGGGGCCGGGGCGCGGGGCCGCGGGCTGGGGTGCGGGGGGGCCGGGCCGGGGTGCGGGGGGCGCGGGCCGGGGCGCGGGGGGCCGGGCCGGGGTGCGGGGGGCCGGGCCGGGGCGCGGGGGCCGGGCCGGGGTGCGGGGGGCCGGGCCGGGGTGCGGGGGGCCGGGCCGGGGTGCGGGGGGCCTGGGAGAGCACCCCGTCCGCTGGGGGCCCGGCGCCGCCGCCTTCCCGCCCTCCGGCCCGGCGTCTGGCCGTGCGGGGTCCCCTCCCCGGTGCGGCCGGGGCCCCGGACCTGCCGCCGGCGGGCGGAGAGCTTGGTCCCGGGAGAGGCGGGGAGGCCCGGGCGGGGTGGGGCGCGGGTGCGGGCGCGGGTGCGGGCCGAGGCGGGGGAAGGGGGTCCCCCAGGCGGGCCGGATGGCGGGGACCTGCGGGGCCGCCGCTGCTCTGCGGGCTGGACGCCGCCCTGGACGGACCTGGAGCGGCCCGGCCGGGGTGGGAGGGACCCAGCTCCTTTGTGTGTGTGTGTGTGTCTGTGGGTCTGTATGTGTGTCTGTGAGTGTCTGTGTGTTTCTGTATGTGTGTCTGTGTGTGTGTGTGTGTCTGTATGTGTGTGTGTGTGTGTGAGTGTGTGTGTCTGTGTGAGTGTGTCTGTGTGTGTGTGTCTGGGTGTGTGAGTGTGTGTGTCTGTGTGAGTGTGTGAGTGTGTGTGTGTGTCTGTGTGAGTGTGTCTCCGTGTGTGTGAGTGTCTGTGTGAGTGTGTCTGTGTGTGTCTGTGTGTCAGGATCTCCTTTCTTCCCACCCTCTCCCTCCCCTCCCCGTCCCCCACTTGGTCTGCGCGCTGGGAGACCCCCCGCCGAGTTCCGGTTGTAAAGTTGAGGATCTGGATACGGATCCCGCCAGGCCCAGGCCCAGGCCCAGGCCAGACCTCCGGGCGCTGGCAGGACACGGCGCCCGGGCCTCTGGGCACGGAGAGTGAGGCCCTGGGTGTCTGCCTTCCCTCGGGAGGCCCAGGAGCTCCAGCCCCATTCCTGGCGGCTCCTGCCCCCTCCCCCAGGGTCTGTGTGCGGCCGTGTCTCTGGGGCTGCTGGCCTTGCCCTCCGGGCCTTGGTCCTCTGAGAGCCCCAGCCGGCCGGCCGCTCCCCTGGCCCAGCCAGAGCCTTTGGGGAAGGGCTCCAGGCCGCAGGGTGTGTGCCCTGGTCCCGCTGCCCGTGCCACCCAAACTGCCCTGCTGAGGCAGGGCGCGGGTACCCCGAGCTGAGCAACTGGTGATGGCCCTCCATCCGTGTCCGGCTGCTCCCGGCCTGTGTCCACACCGCTGACCATGGGCCTCGGGGAGGGGGGGCTGGCCACCGGAGTGGGTTACCTTTCTGAAGGAGGTTTCCGTGCTTGGAGATCTGCCCTCTTCCTGTCTTTTGGGGTATCAGGGACAGAGCCCCCTTCCAGGCGGAGAGAGTGTGGCTGTGTACTCTCTCTCTCTCTCTGCTTCCCTCATCCCAGTTTGTGTGCGAAGGGGAGGCCCCCCGGACCCCTGCTGTCTAAGAGAACAAGCCTGGGGCTGGAATACCCGCTCCCTACAGGCAGCCAGGCCGGGGTGTGAGGCTTCCTACCAGGCAGACCAGGGCAGGGGTGCGAGGCGGCAGTGTGTGGGGAGAGAAGGAGTTCAGCCCAGTCTGACAGGATGTGGGACAAAGAGAAAAAGCTAGGTTTGGGGCCGAGATCGGGTTACCATCTCCCTCTCCCTGAGCGGCTCCCTGCCTGTTGCTGCTGGCTGGGCCTGGCCCTCATTTGTCTCTGGGAGCTCCTCCCAGCCCCAGTCCCAGCAGCCCGGCCTCCCTCTTCCTCCGGCCCACCACCCTCCAGGCCAGCTCCTCTCCCCTGGGGGGGGTGGGGGGGCAGGAAGGGAGGCTCAGCTCAGGGCCTGGACGCCGGGAAGGTGTGATGAACTGTGCAGATGCCCGCTGGTGTGTGCTGGGGCGGGGGGCATGGAAACCCCAGGAAGCTGACTCCTCGCCCTGAGTCACAGGGAGGGGTGGGCAGGGCCTGGGGCGAACTGGCTGGACGGACGGAGGGAGGGGAGGCAGGGGCCGTCCCACGGGGCCGGAGGAGGTGACTCCCGTGGGATCCCTCTCCGACGTGCGGCTCCCGCCACAGTGTGGTCATTGTCCCCCGCCCGAGGCCGAGTGACCCAGCGAGGCTGCCAGGCCCGGAGGAAGGGGGGGAGGAGGGCAGGCTGCCCGGGTGCGGGCTGCGGGCACCGCGGGGACTGAGGCTCCTTTGTGTGACGGGGCTGTGGGGACCGGGACGGGGTGGGCCGTCCGGGGACGCCGGCTGGCTGCTGCCCCTGCCCTCCGTCTGGGCGTCCCTCCCTCTGCCCTGTCCCACCTCCTCGGGGGCGGCACGTAGGCTCCATGGAGTCCCACAGCCCCGCCCGGAGCGCCGGCCCTGTGACTGCTGAGTGCGTGCCTGAGCCTGAGCCTGAGCCTCCCTTCCCTAACTCCTCAGACCAGGACCTCTCCACTCCCTGCTAGGCCTGGGGACTGAGGGAGATGACTTTCGTCACAACAACCCCCCCCCCCCATTTCTCTTACCCACCTACCACCTGGCCGCCTGCTCTCCCGGCCAGGCCCTCGGTTGGTGACCGGGTGGGCATGACCTGAGCCGGGTGAGGGACGGCGTGTCCTAGATGGTATCAGCGTCCCGGGGACAGGTGCGGGCTGGCTCTTTGGACAGGACCTCAAGCACCCCCGCAGGTGTCCGGGTCCCCAGGGGGCGAGTGGGTTCGGTCAGAACTCAGGTTGTCTGGCTCCCACGTGGCTGGATCCTCCACCTCCCACTCTGTGTTCTAACCCATCGGGGCGGGGTGTGGTGGGGGGAGACCTGACCCCGAGATAAGGAACTTCGAGCCCAGTCGCCCGCGCAGTTGGTTCTTGGCAAGAACAGGCCTGAGCGAGCCCCGTGCCCTCCTTTTGCTGGACGCCCCGGCTTCCGGGGAGGGCTTGGGGGGCCCGGAGAAGTGCGTTTGGACTCACTGGGCCTCCCCCCCCCCCCCCCCCCCGCCAGCCCCAGCCATGGCCGCCATCCGCAAGAAGCTGGTGATCGTGGGCGACGGGGCCTGCGGGAAGACCTGCCTCCTCATCGTCTTCAGCAAGGACCAGTTCCCCGAGGTCTACGTCCCCACCGTCTTCGAGAACTACATCGCAGACATTGAGGTGGACGGCAAGCAGGTGAGGGCGCCCCTTCCCCGAGGCCCTGGGGCCCCGCCCAGCAGGGCACCCGGCGGGCCCGCCACCGCCACCGCCACCGCCACCACCACCGCCACCGCCACCGGGGCCTCGCTGCCCGCCCCGCTGGCTCCGGTGACAGCCGGGAGGCGACTGTGCGGCCAGGACACCCAGACGCACCTCCCGGCCCCCTCCACGGCGACCCTTCACCTCTGAGCTCCGCGCTCCCCCACGTGCAAAACGGGGGTGACGATGAGGCCTCCTTCAAAGGGCTGTGGTGGGGGTTCAGGAACCCCGACGGCAGGGCGGCAGGTGCTCGGTGGGTGATCGGAGCCTCGGGGGCCAGGGGCTTCCGGGAGGCCCTCTGGTGGCCGGGCCCTCGGGCGGGCAGCTCACGGCCCCGTGTGTCAGGTGGAGCTGGCCCTGTGGGACACGGCCGGGCAGGAAGACTACGACCGCCTCCGGCCGCTCTCCTACCCGGACACTGATGTCATCCTCATGTGCTTCTCCATCGACAGCCCGGACAGCCTGGGTGAGGGCCCGGGGCGGGAGGGGACCGGACCCTTTGGGATCACCCAGCCGAGGTCGTGCTCTCGCCCTGGCTTATTCTGTCGGGGGGGGGGGGGGGGGCGGAGGCTGCGGGGAGGGGCGCAGAGGACCGGCTGCTTCCTTCCCCGGGGGAACGAACGCCGGCCGTTAGGGGGCCCCCGGGGGGGAGGTTTGGAGCGGTAAAAGGGACTGTCAGGCTGAACACCCTCGGAGACTCTGCTGGGGGGAGACCAGGGGCTGCAGGGAGGCGGGGGGCTCCCTGGTCTGAGTGGAGGCACCTGCCGGGTCTTGTCTGTGCAGAGAACATTCCTGAGAAGTGGACCCCGGAGGTGAAGCATTTCTGCCCCAACGTGCCCATCATCCTCGTGGGCAACAAGAAGGACCTGAGGCAAGACGAGCACACCCGCAGGGAGCTGGCCAAGATGAAGCAGGTGGGCCCGGGCGAGCCTCTGCCCTGTTCCGGGGGCGGCGGCACCTGCCTCCCGCCCCGGTGAGGGAGGGCGAGGGGCGGCCCTCCGAACCAAGTGCCTTGTCCACGGTCACTGGGCATTTTGGTGTATGCGTCTGTGGTTGGGCTGTGAAGATGGACAAGGACATAAACCCGTTATAAGTGGCCGAGAGGCCCCGAGGGAGGGAGCCGGCCCATCAGGGGGCCTGGTAAGTGGCCCTCCAGCCAGGATTCACTGGTCAGAGAGCTGCCAGAGTGAGGAGCACGGACTGCCCTGAGGGTAATCACGCCAGGGTTTTACACGGGGCCGGTGTGGTCAGGTCTGTGTCAGGAGCGGTCGTTCCTCCGGCAGCCGCCCGGCGGAGGTCGTGAGAGCAGGGAGGCAGGGAGGCCCGTTCGGAGGGGCCAGGTACCCATTCAGGTAACGGAGGGGTTTAGCGCGCGTCTAGGGCGGTGGAGAGAATTTTAACGAAAACCTTGCATCGCGGTTGCCGGTCCTGCCGCTGCTGCCCAGGGTGCTGGGCGTGGGTGCTGGGCGGGCTAGGGCTGGAGGTGTTTCTCGTTAGTGCCCGTGTGGGCGTGGCAGGGAGAGGCACCTGCCACCCGCTTCCCTTGACGTCTCGCCTCCCGTCCTCCCAGGAACCCGTGCGGTCGGAGGAAGGCCGGGACATGGCCAACAGGATCAGCGCCTTCGGCTACCTGGAGTGCTCCGCCAAGACCAAGGAGGGGGTGCGGGAGGTGTTCGAGATGGCCACCCGGGCCGGCCTCCAGGTCCGCAAGAACAAGCGGCGGAGGGGCTGCCCCATCCTCTGAGTCCCCCGAGGCCCTTCCCAGGGGCGCAGGGACACCCCCAACCCTCCCTCCTCCTGGGGCTCCGTGCCGAAGGCTCCCCCGTCCAGCTCTCTCCAGCCCAGGACTGCACCGGTCTCCCCAGGCCCCAGCCCCAGTGGTGGCGGCAGCGGCAGTGCCAGGCCCACCGGCCCTCCCTCAGGGCACTCTGGGAGCCTGGCTGTGCCCCGCCCACCCGCCCGGAGCAGAGTCTGCCGCTGCCCGGGTGCAGGGTGGGGCTCCGGGTCCCTTAGGCCTTGGCCTTGCCCGGAGGAGGACTGTCACACCAGCACTTTACACACTCCCGGCTCACGTGTCTGGGGAAGGGGATTCGGAGGCTGTAACCCAGAGGCCTGGGCCCTGGTATTTCTGCTTTGGGCAGATGCCCCGTCTCTGGCCCTACCTGCTGGGGGGCACAAATAAAAGGGCCACAGGCTTCAAGGTGTACGCGGCGGCTTCCTGTCTCTCTCTTCTGGTCCCCGTGTCGGCCTGTAGTCCCCCCTCTCCTCCTCTATTCCCAGCCGCTCACCAGGCCGGCCCTGTCTGCACAGGCAGGGCCCGGCAGGCAGGGTGGAGGCTAGGAGCCCGGGGTGAGGTCATGCCTGGCTCCGGGCCTGGGGCGGGGGCGGGGCGTGGTCTGGAGCGGAGGCTAAATTTAGAAGCAGGCGGGTGGCTCCCGGCTGCCTCCCCCTGGGTGTCCGCCCGGGCCGCGGTGGGGGCTGGGTTCTGCGCCAGGGGGAGGTGGTACGGCCTTGGGTAGCATCCCATCTTCCGTGGGGTCAGCTTGGGGGTTTGGGAAGCGGGGACCAGGCCAAGAAGACGACATGGACACAGAGGCGTTTGCATAGAACCAGACTGTTTTCAGTTCTTCCCACCCCCCCTTCACCCCACATTGTTAGCAGCTTGTATCATTCCTCCCTGCAGGGGAGCGGGGGAAGGGCTGGGGTTGTAAACTCCCTCCCCCAGCCTTCCTGTCCCTCCGAGAGGCAGGTCAGCTGGGTTCGGGTTCAGGCTGGGTCCGGGCTCAGGGCAGGGCGGCGGGGCGCTTAAGGCTTGGCCGGTGTGCACAGGCCGAGGGCCGGCTGCGTCTCGTCAGAGGTCGTTCCTCCACTCCGGCTCCACCTGCAGGGGCAGGTGGGCCTCACCCTCCAGGTCCTGGGAGAGGTAGTCGGGACTTTGGGGCCCTGGGGAGAGAGGAGGCGAGCTGAGCTGTCTTCCTGACCTCGGCCCCGGCCGGCCCCAGCCTGGCCCCGGCCCGCCCTGGCCCAGCCGTACCTGAGGTAGAGAAGCTGAGCTTGCTCAGACCTTTGATTAAATCCTGTTCGTGCTCCGGGTCCACTTTGGAAGGGAAGGGGCACCCGGTGTAGCCCCCATTGTCTCTGCAGAAGTCCAGGAATCTGGGGGGGACAGGGACCCTCACACACGTGTGCCTGGCCGAGGAGCACCCGGCGGGGCCTCTGGACAAGACGCTTAACCTCCGAGGGAGGGGCAGGGCACCGCGAGGTGGACAGGTCTGGGTGAGCTGAGCCACAAGGAGGTGGTTATAAAGTAAGGTGACCAGCCAACACGGATTTAGCTCAATGGATAGAGCGTCGGCCTGTGGACTGAAAGGTCCCTCCTGGTTCGATTCTGGTCATGGGCATGCACCTGGGTTGCGGGAGCATCCCCAGTGGGGTGTGTGTGTGTGTGTGTGCAGGAGGCAACTGATGGATGATTTTCATCAATGTTTAACTCTCTTTCTCTCTTCCTCTATGTAAAAAAATCAATAAAACATATTAAAGGAATAAAATAAAAAATAAAGGTGAGCAGACGTCCCGATTTTTTTGTTGTTGTTGTTAAATATTTTGATTTTTTACAGAGAGAAAGAGAGAGGGATAGAGAGCTAGAAACATCGATGAGAGAGAAACACCGATCAGCTGCCACCTGCACACCCCCTACCGGGGATGTGCCCACAACCCAGGTACATGCCCTTGACCGGAATCGAACCCGGGACCCTTCGGTCCGCAGGCCGACGCTCTATCCACTGAGCCAAACAGGATTCCGCAGACGTCCCGATCTTTAACAACGTGTCCCTCGGCGTTTTAAAGAAGTTCCCAAAAGTTGGGACTATTTTAAGACGCCGCAGGACACATGGTTAAAAACCGGGACTGTCCCGCCAAAAGCGGGACGCCTGGTCACCTCACGATAAAGAGCCAGCTGCCCTTTTTTGGGGTGTGGGGCGGGGGGCGGGGGGGGCGTTGGGGACACTCACGCCTTCCAGTCGGAGTCGTGGCTCAGGAGCAGCGGGTTGCCCACCACGATGAGCAGGGCTTTGGCCCGGGTCACGGCCACGTTGAACCTCTGGAAGGAAGCGGGGCTGGCGTCGGAGGGAGGGAAGGGCCCCTGAAGCGGGAAGAATGCCCGCCCCCCGGCCGCCCTCAGACCTTGGGGTTCTTGAGGAAGCCCAGGTTGAAGTCCAGGTCCAGCTGCACGAAGCTCTGGCTGCTCCGCACGGTCGAGATGATGATGACGCTGCGCTCCTGGCCCTGGAACTCCTCCACGGAGCCCACCTGCAGGGGAGGGCGGCCTGAGACGGGGCCCTGCCTCGGGCAGCCTGCGCTCCGGTCCCAGCGGGGAGTGAGTGTCCTCACAGGGGCAGGGGGAAGGACACTGAAAGCGGCTTCGGTGAAAGGGACAGGGGATGGAGAGGGTTCCGAGGGAAGGAACCATGGGCCCTGGCCCGTGTAGCTCAGTGGTTAGAGCACGGAATCCTCACACCAAAGGATCGCGGGTTCGATGCCTGGGTCCCCTCGGGGTGCATGTGGGAGACAACCCATCGATGTCTCTCTCTCTCTCTCTCTCTCTCACATCGTCACATCGGTGTATCCCTGTCCCCTTCCACTCTCTAAAAATCAATGGAGCCCTGACCGGTGTGGCTCAGTGGATAGAGCGTCAGCCTGCGGACTCAAGGGTCCCAGGTTCGATTCCAGTCAAGGGCATGTACCTTGGTTGCGGGCACATCCCCAGTAGGGGGTGTGCAGGAGGCAGTTGATCGATGTTTCTCTCTCATCGATGTTTCTAACTCTCTATCTCTCTCCCTTCCTCTCTGTGAAAAAATCAATAAAATGTATTTAAAAAAAAAAAAATCGATGGAAAAAAACATCCTTGGGTGAGGATTCAAACAAGGAAAAAGAAAACATGGTAACTCAGCAGTGTTTTTCAAACTCTCCCGAAGATAATCACTAAGTTCTGGTTAAAAACAAACAAACACAACCCAGACCTCCTGAATCAGACGTCGAGAGAGAGAGAGAGAGAGAGAGAGAGAGAGAGAGAGAGAGAGGCGCCTCTACATACTTTTTAAAACATGTTTTTTATTGACTTAAAGGAGAGCAGAGGGAAGAGAGGGAGAGAAGACAGACACACGGACGGGCTGCCTCCTGGGGACGGAGCCAGCAACCTGGGCTGGTGCCCCGACCGGGAATTGAACTGATGACCTCCTGGCACGATGCCCAACCAACCGAGCCACCCTGGCCCGGCCAGGGCTCCGCATCTTCCAGCGCTGGCTCCTGGCTGCCCACGCGCTCACCTGCGGCGCTGGAAGCCGGCCCGCTGCCCTGGCTCTGCCCCCAGATGGCTGTGCTAATGGGCCGGGCGGGGCCTGGCACAGGCAGTGCCAAAGCTCGCCAGGTGATTCTTATCGGCTGCCAGCGCCGAGGAACGTGGCCGGGAGAGAGAGGCTGCGGCGGGCGCTGTCACAGGACGGGCCAGGCAGGCCGGGGAAGCCTGGACTTTATTCCCGGAGCAGAGGCCTCCAGCCAGCCGGGCCATAAACCCGGCCTGGGCTGTTTGCGAAACGTGCGGGCGTCCTGGCTGCACCCGGGCCGCACTGCGGGCCCAGGCGTTCGGCAGTGAGCGCCGGGGAGACTCTGCAGGCGGGGCGGGTGGCGGGGCAGGGGCCTGGGGGGCTCTGGGAGCGGGGAGAGAGCGGGTGTGAGACAGGGGGCGGCTCACCTTCAGGTCCTTGATGTCGTCCAGTCCCCGCAGCTGCTTGTCCAGCCTGGTGATGCAGTGGCGGATCTTTTCCACCTGGAAGGGCAGACGGGGGCCGTTCTCTCACCCCGTCACCCCCCCATCACCCCGGGGCGGGAGGGAGTCCGGGCAGGAGGCCAGGGAGCGGGGAGGCGCCCGGGGAGGGGCCGCTGGAGGGCACACGGGGAGGGAGGGGCCGCCGACCTCTGAGCTCCCCAGATACCGGGGAGCGGGGCCCCAGCCGGGACCTGCGCCTGGCGCCGCCGGGCACGGGTGCCGGTGGGGGTGCCTCACCGCGGGCGGGAGGCCTCACCTGCTTCCGGTACGGGGAGATGACGCCCACGTGCCGGGGGCTCAGGCAGCCTCGGCCCTTTTTGGAGGAGGACGCCAGCAGCTGCTTCAGGTAGGAGGTCACCGTGGCGGCCTCCTCGGGGTTGAAGAAGGAGGGGCTGTTGCCCTCACGCTCATCCTTGCCCATGACGCCGTGGAAGATGATGGGGAAGCCCTGGACACCGTCAGGGGAGACCCTCAGCGGTTCCTCCCGGCCTCCGTGCCCCTCACCCCACACCCACAGTCAGGGGAGACCCTCAGCGAGCCCTCCCGGCCTCTGTGCCCCTCACCCCAAACCCACAGTCAGGGGAGACCCTCAGCGGTTCCTCCCGCCCCCCGTGCCCCTCACCCCAAACCCACAGTCAGGGGAGACCCTCAGCGGGCCCTCCCGGCCTCCGTGCCCCTCACCCCACACCCACAGTCAGGGGAGACCCTCAGCGGGCCCTCCCGCCCTCCGTGCCTCTCACTCCAAACCCAAAGAGGGGAGACCCTCAGCGAGCCCTCCCGCCCTCCGTGCCTCTCACCCCAAACCCAAAGAGGGGAGACCCTCAGCGGTTCCTCCCGCCCCCCGTGCCCCTCACCCCAAACCCACAGTCAGGGGAGACCCTCAGTGGGCCCTCCCGCCCTCCGTGCCCCTCACCCCAAACCCACAGTCAGGGGAGACCCTCAGTGGGCCCTCCCGCCCTCCGTGCCCCTCACCCCAAACCCACAGTCAGGGGAGACCCTCAGCGGGCCCTCCCGGCCTCCGTGCCCCTCACCCCAAACCCACAGTCAGGGGAGACCCTCAGCGAGCCCTCCCGGCCTCCGTGCCCCTCACCCCACACCCACAGTCAGGGGAGACCCTCAGCGGGCCCTCCCGCCCTCCGTGCCTCTCACTCCAAACCCAAAGAGGGGAGACCCTCAGCGAGCCCTCCCGCCCTCCGTGCCTCTCACCCCAAACCCAAAGAGGGGAGACCCTCAGCGGTTCCTCCCGCCCCCCGTGCCCCTCACCCCAAACCCACAGTCAGGGGAGACCCTCAGTGGGCCCTCCCGCCCTCCGTGCCCCTCACCCCAAACCCACAGTCAGGGGAGACCCTCAGTGGGCCCTCCCGCCCTCCGTGCCTCTCACCCCACACCCACAGTCAGGGGAGACCCTCAGCGGGCCCTCCCGGCCTCGTGCCCCTCACCCCACACCCACAGTCAGGGGAGACCCTCAGTGGGCCCTCCCGCCCTCCGTGCCTCTCACCCCACACCCAAAGAGGGGAGACCCTCAGCGGTTCCTCCCGCCCCCCGTGCCTCTCACCCCACACCCACAGTCAGGGGAGACCCTCAGCGGGCCCTCCCGCCCTCCGTGCCCCTCACCCCAAACCCAAAGAGGGGAGACCCTCAGTGGGCCCACCCAGCCTCCGTGCCCCTCACCCCACACCCACAGTCAGGGGAGACCCTCAGCGGGCCCTCCCGGCCTCCGTGCCTCTGACCCCAAACCCTTCCAGGCAACGGGGGCTCCCGGGCCCCCAGGCCACAGGGACAGACCGGGGCTTCCGCTCAGAGCCGCCTCCTCCGCCCTGCCCCTTCCCGGGCTGGCAGGAGCCCTCACCTGGCGGGGCAGGCCCTCCCACTGGCAGAAGCGCTCCCGCTCCACCTGGTCGGCACAGGGCTGCAGCTCCCGGTCGTAGTAGAGCTGGTTAGGGATGTCCAGGATGGTGGGGTGAGACCTGGAGGGCGGGGGGGGTGGGGAGAGCAAGACTGGGAATGGATCTCTCCCGCCTCGCCCGCTCACACACCTCATCCGCCTGCCTTCTGTCCGCTGGACGGCAGGCGCCTTCCCCTAAAACACCTGCCGCCAGATCCGTAGACCACAGGAAACAGAACCACCTGTGGTTCCGGCGAGGACCCGGTCCATGGGTTTCAAAGACCAGCCACATTTCAAAGAAGAAAATGAGACAGGAGAGCCGAAACCGGTGTGGCTCAATGGACAGAGCATCGGCCTGCAGACTCCAGGGTCCCAGGTTCGATTCCGGTCAAGGGCATGTACCTGGGTTGCAGGCACATCCCCAGTGGGGGGTGTGCAAGAGGCAGCTGATCGATGATTCTCTCTCATCGATGTTTCTAACTCTCTATCCCTCTCCCTTCCTCTCTGTAAAAAAAAAAAAAAATCAATAAAATATATTAAAAACAAAACAAAACAAAAAAAACACAAAAACGATACGGTCCCCATTTTTATAATTTCTCCTTGGATTGCCTGGAAACGTCATCCGGGACCCGTGCCAGACACACCCGCGTGTCTGGGAACCACAGGCCACCCCTTCGCATGCAGGTAAGCAAGCGGTTAGAGTAAGGTGACCAGACGTCCCGCTTTTGAACAATTTGTCCCGCGTCCCGAGGCGTCTTAAAAAAGTCCCAATTTTTTAATCGTTCAAATTGTTCAAAAGCGAGACGTCTGGTCACCTTATGTCAGAGCCAAGCTGCTAGTCAGGTCCCACCGCCAAGAAGCAGGCGTGCGGGGCCCAGAGCCTGTGTGTCCCCTGGCCTCGGAGCCGCAGGCCTGCAGACGGCGCCTTGGGGGGCCGCACGGGTGTGAAGGTGGGGGTCGCGGGGACAGCGGGGTGCAGGTACCTGTAGTTGCGCAGCAGCTTGGTGATGAACTGGGCGTTGTAGCCGTCGGGGCCCTTCTTGTACAGGGCGTTGAAGGTAAGCAGCCGCTCCAGCAGCGAGTAGCCCAGCCCGTGCTTCTGGGCCAGCGGGGAGCGCAGCACAGGCCCCAGCTGCCGGGGGTCCCCCGCCAGCACCAGCTGCGCCCCCGGATCGCCCGACTCCTTGACTTCCATCAGCCCTGGGAGGCAGGCAGCGCGGGGAGGGAGGTGAGTGGGGGACCCCCCTCCCCCCGGCCCCGTGTAGGGGGTGGCGCAGCCGCGGCCTCCGAGGCCCTTACCTGCGATGGCCACCAGGCTCTCGGGCTCCATGCAGTGGCCGGCCTCATCGATGAAGATGTGGGTGAAATGGTCGATGGGAAACTGGGCCGAGACCAATCTGGGAGGTGCGTCAGGCCAGGCCGAGGTCAGACCCAGGGACCCGGCCGCCCAACGTCACCGAGCTGGCCCCTCCGCCTGCTCCCTCGCCTGCGACCTCTTTGCTTACAGACACAATTAGGGGAGACACCGGTGCCCGGCTGGTGTGGCTCAGTGATGGAGCATTGACTCATGAACCAGGAGGACACCGTTCGATTCCCGATCAGGCCACAGGCCCGGGTTGCGGGCTCCATCCCCAGTGGGGGGCGTGCAGGAGCCAGCCGGTCTATGATTCTCTCTCATCATGGATATTTCTCTTTCTCTTCCTCTCCCTTTCTCAATAAAAACATCTTTTTTTTTTTTTTTTAAAGAGACACACACACACACACACACACACACACACTTCCCACCTGCTGGCAGTGATGAGGGTGGTGATTAAGACGGGATATTCCTGCAGCTTCTTCTTGGCGGGAAACACGAACTCCCCCTTGGTGGCGTCCCAGTTGCAGCAGGGCTGTGGGCGTGAAGGGAGAGGGCGTCAGCATGGCGCTCCCCGCGCTCCCCCTCACCCTGGCCCCGGGCTCCTGGGCAATGGATTCGCCTCTCGTCTTACACGCAGGGGAGCGAAGGCCAGTGCGGGGTCCTGGCCCAGCCAGGCCCCAGGGCGAGGGTGGCAATCCGGGTCACCTCGTTTGCTGGCCTCAGGGTCTGCCCCAAGAGCCGCCCCCCCACCCCCTGTCCTCCTGCGCCCCCGGGCACCTTGATGTCCTCGGGCACCATGCGGAAGTCCCTGCTGGGGGCCAGGAGCCGGTAGATGGAGCTGGGCAGGTGGGTGCGGAGCCGCTGGCAGAGGAGATCTGCCCCCGAATTGGACGGAGCGCAGGCCAGGACGTGGGCCTGGGGCAAGAGTTTCACCACCTGGGGGGGAAAGGGGGGAAGGAAAGCAATGGCCAGATCTGGGGTTTTGTGTGTGTGTGTGTGGGGGGGTGGTTAAGCATAGACTCAGTCGTGACAGGGATGCAGGCAGGCGGCACACTGTGACATCTGCCTCCCGAAGCTGAGAGAGGGACAGAGTGGCTCAGAGGGCAAGCTCTGCCCCCAGCCTCCTCGCTAGTCCAAACAGCTCCTCGCTGGAAAACGTGCAGGAGCGGGACACGCGTGTGACGACGGACCGGGGAACAGTGGCTGTGAGAGCTGTGCAGGGCCCAGCCTACACCACCGCCTCACCGGCGACACGGAGCCGAGGTGCCCGCCCGCGGAGGGGCCTGCAGGAAGCTGGCAGGAACCAGGATCCAGGACAACTGCCCGGGCCCGGGGGAGGCCAGGGGTGGGCCCCAGGTCTCTGCTCGGGCCCCACCTGCTTGATGGCTTCCACCAGGGTGACCGTCTTGCCGGTGCCCGGCGGCCCGAAGATGATGTAGGGGGCCGGACGGGTGGTGCCCATCACGATGTGCTTCAGGGCCTGGAGCTGCTCGGGGTTCGACTCCAGACTCCGGTCGTAGAGCCTGGCAGGGGGCCAGGAACACGACGTTACCCGGCGTCCCAGAGGCGCCCGGGCCCCACCCTCCGGGCCCGGGGACCCGGCCCGCAGTCTCACTTGAACGCCACGTCCTCGGAGGGCAGCCGCCGGACCCCGCGGGCGGCCTTGGGAAAGAGCGTGGGCCACAGCGGGTGGCGCCCCGTCAGCTCCAAGGCCCGATGCTGCGCCCGCAGGGGCTGCCGGTTGAAGGTGAAGCTCACCTTGAAGGTCAGCCCGTCCACGAAGCGGCCCAGGAGGCTGGGGGAAGGCGGAGAAGGGGAGGCGGAGAGGGGAAGGCGGAGAGGGGGGAAGGCGGAGAGGGGAAGGCGGAGAGCGGGGAAGGCGGAGAGGGGGGAAGGCGGAGAGGGGGGGAGGGCGGAGAGGGGGTAAGGCGGAGAGGGGAAGGCGGAGAGGGGGGAAGGCGGAGAGAGGGGGGGAGGCGGAGAGAGGGGGGAAGGCGGAGAGGGGGGAAGGCGGAGAGGGGGGAAGGCGGAGAGGGGAAGGCGGAGAGGGGGGAAGGCGGAGAGGGGGAAGGCGGAGAGGCGGGGAGGGCGGAGAGGGGGGGGAAGGCAGAGAGAGGGGGGAAGGCGGAGAGGGGGGGAGGGCGGAGAGGGGGGGAGGGCGGAGAGGGGGGGAAGGCAGAGAGAGGGGGGAAGGCGGAGAGAGGGAGGGCGGAGAGGGGGGAAGGCGGAGAGGGGGGGAAGGCGAAGAGGGGGGAGGCGGAGAGAGGGAAGGCGGAGAGGGGGGAAGGCGGAGAGGGGTGAAAGTGGAGAGAGGGGGAGGGCGGAGAGGGGGGGAGGGCGGAGAGAGGGAGGGCGGAGAGGGGGGAAGGCGGAGAGAGGGGGGGAAGGCGGAGAGGGGGGGAAGGCGGAGTGGGGGAAGGTGGAGCGGGGGAAGGCGGAGAGAGGGGAAGATGGCCAGTGAGAAGGGCGGGCATGCAAGGCCAGGACGCGCCCTCTACCCTGACCCCACCCCCACTTCCCAAGGCCTCTGAGCCATCCCTGCTGGGGAGGGAGTCTGTGGAGGCATCTCTGGCCCCCCCCCTCTCAGATCCCCCTTCCCGTTGGCCTGAGGGGCGCCTGCAGCCCCTCCGGCAGCTCAGGGCCCCCCAGCACCCACCTCGGGGAGAAGCTCAGCTTGACGCGATCCAGCTCCACCCGGTGCACGAAGCCCTTGTAGGTGACGGGGTCCTGCTGGTGCGCCTCGGAGCACAGCGCGGCGAACAGGTGGTCTCCCCGGAGCACCGAGGGGCGGCTCTCGGCCACCCCAGGAACCTGGGGTGTGGAAACAGGAAGGTTCTATCCCGGGGGGCTCACCAGAGAGCCCCCCGCCGCCCCAAGACGCGGGGAACTCTGCCCCTTTCCCCGCCGGCCGACAGGCGCGGCGTCCGCGGGCCCGGGAAGAGCCGCGTCTGTCCGGCTGCTCGGGCGCCCTCCAGGCCCCCCCCAGGCCCCCAGCCTGTGCCCCCTGAGCTGGCTCGGTCCCTACTCTGCCTTTACGACCTCAAACTCAGTTCCTGCAGGAATCTCGCCGATGATCCTTAACCCCCCGCTTCTCACCAGGACCCTCCCTTCCTCGGCACCACGGTGAAGAGCCCGCTCGCCCAGAATTCTGGGCATCCGTGGGCACATCCGAGAGCCGGAGAGAGCGCCGAGAACTGCCTGGTCCGGCTCTGGGTTCTTCAGGAAAGGGAAGGCAGGCCCAGCGGGGGAAGGCCACACAGCTGACGGCAGCCATGCTGGGACTAACACCCAGGTGCCCCCACTGCCCTGCCCAGACCCTCTTTCTGGGCTCAGGATGCCCACGCTGCCCCCTGGTGAGCCCTCCCTCCGGGGCAGAGACACCTTCCTCCTTCCTCTCGCCTTGCCCAGCCGGCGGGAGCGGCGTTCTGCCCACGCACAGCCTGCGGGCTGAGCCCCCCGCCCCCCCCCCCCCCCCCCGCCTCCCCATCCAGCCCCGACCTCCAACGTGAGCAGCTTGGGGTTCTGGGCGACGGGGTCCCGGGTCATGGGCACGGACTCCAGGTCGTAGTGCCGGATGTCATGCTCCATCTGCAGCTCCTCCAGGTGCAGCAGCAGCTGGAGCTTCGTCTGGTAGTTTCTGCTCTTCAGGGACGTCTCCAGCTTGGCCCTAGCAGGGGCGGCGGGAGGAAGGGCGGGGAGGAGGAGGAGGAGGAGGGTCCATGGGTCAGGCAGCCCTCGTGCCCAGGAGCATCCGCCCTCTCCCATCGGCAGCTCCGGGTCCACAAGAGCATCGGGAATCCGGGAAACTAGAAGGACCTTGGAGAAGGGGACCCTGGCTCTCCCCCCACCCCCGCCCCTGAGTGGGCCGGAACCGCTGGGCTTGGGACTATTCCTCCTATGACCGCCCCCTCACCCCAGTCAGTGTCACTCCCTGCTCACATGGCACCCTCTCCACGGGCAGGGGCTGACCCCTCTGCAGAGCCCGCAGCCCGTCCCCTTACTGCCCCGCTCGGGCTCTGGCTAAGCCTCACGTTAGCTCTTCACAGCGCTCAGCGCGCCATGAAGTTATCAGATAAACGGTCTTTCGAAGGAATTTTAAGATCAAGCTCATGTCCTCCCCCGGCTCACATAGGCAAGGCCCTCCCGGGACCGAATCACCGGGAAGAGTGCCCTGCGCGCGCGGTGCATGCGAGTCCGGTAAGGAGCGACCCGAGCAGGGGGCTGCCGGGTGTGGGGCTGAGGGTGGGGGGCTGCCGGGTGGGGGGCTGTAGGGTGGGGGGGCTGCAGGGTGTGGGGGCTGAGGGTGTGGGGCTGCAGGGTGGGAGGCTGCAGAGCGGGGGGGCTGAGAGTAGGGGGCTGCAGGGTGGGGGGCTGCAGGGTGATGGGGCTGCAGGGCGGGGGGCTGCAGGGTGGGGGTGGCTGAGGGTGTGGGGGACTGTAGGGTGTGGGGGCTGCAGGGTGTGGGGGTTGAGGTTGTGGGGGCTGCAGGGCGGGGGCTGCAGGGCAGGGGCTGCGGGGCTGCAGGGCGGGGGGGCTGCAGGATGGGGGGACTGCAGGGCGGGGGGCTGCAGGGTGTGGGGGCTGCAGGGAGGGGGCTGCAGGGCGGGGGCTGCGGGGCTGCAGGGCGGGGGGGCTGCAGGGCGGGGGGCTGCAGGGTGTGGACGGGGAGAAGCCAGCGGGAACGGACTCGGGGAGCAGAGGGCGCAGGGGACGGGGCTTACTTGACCTCGGCGACCTCCTTCGGGGCCGTGAAGACGCTCCTCCCCTGCAGCAGCGTGGGGAGCAGCCGGCGGAGGCGGGCGGGCGGGTGGTACGGCCCCAGCGCCAAGCTGAGCTCCAGCTCATAGCCCTTCGCGCTGCAGGGACGGGGAGGGGAGGGGAGGGGACGGGAGCGTCAGCACGGCCCTCACTCCCGGGGGAGCAGTGACATGGCCGGGAGGGGCCAGCGACATGGCCCGGGAAGCCTGACTCACTGCCTCATGGGCCTGCTCGCCCCAAGGCTGGGCCATCCATTCTCTGTTCTTGAAAAAATCGCCTCTAAAGCTGCTACAAAGGAGGGCGAGCCAAGACCAGTGTGGCTCAGTGGATAGAGCGTCGGCCTGCGGACTGAAAGGTCCCAGGTTCGATTCCGGGCAAGGGCATGGACCTTGGTTGCGGGCACATCCCCAGTAGGGGGTGTGCAGGAGGCAGCTGTCGATGTTTCTCTCCCATCGATGTTTCTAATTCTCCCTCTCCCTTCCTCTCTGTAAAAAAAAAATCAATAAAAAAAATATTTAAAAAATAAAAATAAGGGCAATGTCGGCAGGGCTAACAGCCCACCACGGAGTGAGAAAGCCTTCACGTGGCAGCGTGTCGGCAGCTTTCTCGCTGCCCAGAAAGGGTCTCTGAGGCTGGGGGATTAGGGAAGGGGGGGGCGCACACTGTCGCCTGGACGGGGCGGGAGGGAGACGTTACCGGTCGGGCCTCTCTCCCTCCTCGATGCGGGCGCTCACGAGGGGGTTCCCGGTGATGCGGGCCCGCTTGTAGGGCGCGGTGGGCTTCAGCTGCGCGGCCAGGGGGCTGTGGGCGACCACGGCCAGGAAGCGGGCGATGTAGAAGGTGCCGGCACCCTCCGAGCCCGGCTCCTCGGGGCCCAGCAGCTCCCAGATGACGGTGGCGGGGAAGTAGCCCACGAAGCTGGTCTGGCAGTGCACCATGAGCTCATAGCTCTCCCCTGGGGGCGGGAGCGGGGGCGGGGTGAGCGGGAGGGCGGGGAGAGGGGTCCCCCCAGCACCCGTGCCCTGGGAACCCCCCCCCAGATCCCCACCCCCAGGCAGGAGCCACGGGCAGCACCGGCGTGGCCCCCAAGCCCCAGCCCGCCCCCCAAGGCCCCTTCCTCCGGACCCACGCACCGGGGCCCAGCGAGCAGGGCAGCTGCTGGTCCCCGGGGAAGAACTTGAACTGGGAGGTCCAGAAAAGCGGGAAGACGTGGGTGAGGGTGACCGGCTGGGCCCCTCCGTTCTGCAGCCGCAGGGTCAGCCGCTCCTTGCGGTTCAGGTCAAGGCGGATCAGGAGCTGCCCGTCCTGGGCCTCGTGGGGCCCCTGCACCTCCACGTCCACCCCGTGCTTCCCCCGGAGGTACTCGGCCCTGGGGAGAGGGGGAGGCGAGGAGGGGCTGGGGCGGGAGGGGCCGGGTTGGACGCTGCCCTCAGGGAGCGGCAGCTTGTTCTGGACAACCCACCCCTCCCTCTCTCCTGACCCCTCAGCGCCTTCCCTACCCGCACCCCCACTTCTCAACAGAGGGCCTCCCCCCGAAGGGAGGCAACTCACACGTCCTCAGCCAGACAGCTTCCCCCCAAGCCTGAGGTGACCAGACATCCCGATATTTTTTTTAAAATATGTTTTATTGATTTTTTTTACAGAGAGGAAGGGAGAGGGATAAAGAGTTAGAAACATCGATGAGAGAAACATCGACCAGCTGCCTCTTGCACACTCCCCACTGGGGATGTGCCCGCAACCAAGGTACATGCCCTTGCCCGGAATCGAACCTGGGACCCTTCAGTCCGCAGGCCGACGCTCTATCCACCGAGCCAAACCGGTTTCGGCAGACATCCAGGTTTTTAGCCATGTGTCCCGCGTCCCGAGGTGTTTTAAAATTGGGGCTGTTTTAAAATGCCTCGGGACGCGGGACACATGGTTAAAAGTCGGGACTGTCCCGCCAAAAGCGGAATGTCTGGTCACCTTACCCAAGCCCCACCCCCTTGCACACACAGGCACGCACCCACACACGCTCACGTGCACACACACACACGCACACACACACACGCACGTGTGCGCACACATGTGCATGCACACATGCACGCACGCACACACGCACGCACACACTCACACATACACACCCACCCACACGCATGCACACACACACATGCACACACGCACGCACGCGCACACACACGCACGCACATGCACACGCACATGCATGCACACACTCACACATACACACCCACCCACACGCACGCACACACACGTGCACACACACGCACACGCACGCGCACACACACACGCGCGCACACACACGCACACGCACGCACGCACGCACCTGTCATGGAAGATCTTGGCGAACAGGGACTTGTGGCGGCAGGTGCTGGTGCCGGACGGGTCGGTCCAGCGGTCCAGTTTGAAGAACCGGACCTGCTTCTTGGTGACGTAGGCCAGGTTGGCGCTCTTCATCCCGTACAGCATGGAGGAGAAGCCGGGGGCGGGCTTCCCGAAGCTGCCGGAAGCAGAGGAGACTGGGGAGTGAGGGCGGCAGGCCGGTGGGCGTGCAGGGGGCGGGCGTGCCGGGGAGGGGCCTGAGGGCTGCTGGGCCCGGGACGGGACTCGGGCTGGGGATCGCAGAGTTTTAAGGGAAGCAGTGGGGCTTTCCGGGACAAAGCCGGAGCTTTAGACAGCAGGAGCGTGCCTGCATTTCTGAGGAGGGACGGCCCGTCGTGGCTGCTGATTTGGAGGACCAGGAGGGAGAAAGAAACAAAGGTGTTTTTTGGGGGAGAAAAACTATTGGGGACAGAAAAAGATACAGACAGCCCAGCGGGAGGAACAGAGGCTCAGGGGAAGCGAAGGAGTGGATTCCGAGGGTGGGCCTGGGGTCTGGCCTGAGGCGGGAGAGAGGTCGGAGAGACAGGTGTGTGTGTGTGTGTGTGTGTGTGTGTGTGTGTGTGTGTGTGTGTGGCGGAGGGGGGGGAGGAAGGGGGCCCGCGGGCAAGGCAGCTGCTCAGACAGCACATTTGCACCCGGAGTCTAAGCGTGCAGGCAGAGCCCCAGCAGGGAGAGAGAGGGTCCTTGTCCAGAGATCAGATAGCTGGCTTTGTGCCTAGAGGAGGTGAAGACAGGGAAAAGTGGTCAGAGGAGCAGGAACGCCTCGTTCCCGGCCTGAAAACTCGGTTTAGTCCACACAACCAGCGCTTACAGAGGCCTGCGATGTGCCAGACACGCACGGCCGGGGCCCCCGAGAGGGGCCTTCGGGGCAGCGCCGGGCCCAGCCTGGGGCCGGGGTGGGTGCTCACGAAGGTTTCCCCGCGAGCCAGCGTCAGGTGCCAGGGTGCGTGCCGGTGTGGACCCAGCGGAGGCGAGAGCAAGAGCCGGCTCCCTCCAGGTCACGTCACCGGGGCCTCGGAGCCTCACTCCCCTCCTCTGTGAAACGGGCCACGGCAGACTCCCCCGCGGGGCCGTGAGCCGCCTCGCCCCGAGCGTGGCACATAGGAGACCTCGGTAAGGGGTGAGGCGCGCTGCGGTTAGTATCACACACAGCCTGGCTGGGCGGGGTGGCAGGAGGCAGCAGAGGCGGGCAGGGACCAGGTCACACCAGTCCTGCAAGCCTGACTGACCGTGACCCCGAAGGCCAGCAGGCCTCCTCCCTTACTGGCACCGGGGAGCCAGAGGGCACCCCCACAGGTGACATAACTTCCTGGGCAAATTCAAGACCTGGACAGCGCACCGCCCTCCCGCACGGCCTTCGAGGGAATGAAAGCAAATCCTCGTTCCTAAGGACCCTGGTGAGCCCTGTCCAACTGTTCAGGCTGCACTCACTGGCGTCCAGGGGGGAATTGACAGTCACAGACGACTCCCTGGAGCCCTGCCCTCTTCCCTTCACCCCACATCAGTGAGACAGACGGCCGAGGTGCAGAAAACTCCGAATCAGCCCTGATTTGTGTTAAAAAGGCGTCCTTTGAAAACACAATGGAAAGCGCGCTCGGTACACGCTAGCTACCGGCGTTAGTATCCACGTTAGCAGTGAGGATGGCACAGGTCGTTAGCAGCAGGAGAAGCAGGAGCAGCAGCAACTTACGTTCAGCCCGAACCAGAGGAGGCTACCCTGTGGCTACAGAGCCCCCGGGCTGGTGGGCTTTAAGCAGGGGCGTGGCAAGGCCCGGTGCGCATCCCCGATCACCCTGGCAGGCACCGGGGTTGGAGGGCAGATGTGCTGGAGGCAAGACTGTAGGCAGAAGACCCGTTAGGAGGAGGCCGCGGAAACAGGCCCGCGGAAAGATGACAAGGGCGGGGACAGGGCGGTGGTCAGGAGAGCAAAGGGGCCGGATCGGAACACACGGAGACTGAGAGGAGGAGGAGGATCTGGTGACTGTCTGGAAGGGGAAAGGAAGGAAGAGGCGGCCAGGACAGCACTGAGACCAGCGGCGTGGCGCGAGGGGCCCTTCCTGAGACGGAAGGCCAGGGCGGGAGGAGAAGGATGCTGGAGGGGCGGGCCGGACCGTGACATTTGGATTTGGACACGCTCAGTTTGAGATTCCGGTGGCAGGTGGCTCCAGAGAATTCAGGCTAACGTCAAGGTGAGCCTAACATGAGGTGGCCCCAGGTTGCAGTTACAATCAGGGCATTCAGGATCTCCCCAGGTGTGGTGAGTCCTCTGAGAATGGTAGGGGGCCAGGACAACCCAGGGAGGAAGAGAAAAGAGAGAAGGAGCCCTAGCCGGTGTGGCTCAGTGGATAGAGCGTCGATCTGCGGACTGAAGGGTCCCAGGTTTGATTCCGGTCAAGGGCATGTACCTTGGTTGCGGGCACATCCCTGGTAGGGGGTGTGCAGGAGGCAGCTGATATGATGTTTCTCTCTCATCGATGTTTCTCACTCTCTATCCCTCTCCCTTCCTCTCTGTGAAAAATCAATAAAAATATATTAAAAGAAAAGAAAAATAAAAAATAAATAAAAGACAGAAGGAAGCTCCTCCTATCCGCCACCCCCAGACGGAGGAGTCCCAGGAAGAAGTCTTAAAATCAGGGATCATCCTCACGCAGGTGAGCCATAAAGGGGCCACAATCAGGAGGTCATCATCAACTTTCACCCTGGCGCCTGGGTCAGTGAGACATTCGGTCCATGGACTGGACACAAAACTCAAACGCACAGAGGCCAAGCTCCACAGGTACCTGGCACCCTCAGCCTCAGACACACACACAGTACGATTGTCGAATCATTAGAGTCAGAAGGATGTCCCTCATCTCCAGACAGGTAAGGTAGGCCCAAGATGGCCAGGTCTGGCTTTTGAGAGAAGTCCAAATCAAAATTTTAATGTGAAATAGCCTATTTCTGGAAACTTCTGTGTGGGCACAGGGGCGAAGGAATTAAAACTGCAAGTTCTACAACCTCTACTGTGGAGTGCTACCATTGTAACACTTCTCAAATTATTCCCCATGTCTGATCCTACTACCCAGATTCATCTATCCCTGCCTGGTCTAAGGCGACCATCATAAAAAAAAAAAAAAAAAAAAAAGTTTTTTTTTAAAATCACAAACTTAGTACATACTGGTTGGGGAAAAAAGCCCCAATTCTTGTATGATATATCTAGTCACCTAGATTTCCAAGAAAATAAAAAAGATAAACAATAGAAAAGTTGAATATTCAACTTAAAGAATAAATTCAGATGACCAAAAAAGTATAAAATATACTTCAAAAGCAGAGATGCAAATTAAAGTAAAAATGAGACACTATTTACTCTGCCAGCATGGATCAATGGTTGAGTGTTAAACCATGAATTAGGAGGTCACTTTGATTCCAGGCTCAATCCTCAGATGGGGTGGGGGGTTGAGGGCCGCGCGTGCAGGAGGCAGACAGTCAATGATTCTCTCTCATCATTGATGCTTCTATCCCTCTGTCTCTTCCTTTCTGGAATCAATAAAAAAGAGAGATATATACAATTTTATTTCCATTCGATTGACAAAAGTGGAAAACTAGTCATCACATGCATTGCTCAGTCCCGTACACATGGAAAAGTGAACTGTCATACACAGCTGATAGGATGGTGAAGTATTACAAACTCTGGAAAAGCAATCTGGCAATATCCCCCGTAACTCAGGAACCCCATTCCTAGGGCTGTACCCTGGAGAGAAAAGTCCCCATGCATGAGGACATGCGCACAAGGACACTTCCTGCTGAGTCACCCACAATGGCCAAGAACTGGAAACAGGACACATGCCCACCAATAGGGAGATGGCTGAGCAACTATAAACACCTACTTCCTGTGATACTGTGCAGCCATTAAGGAGACATGTCTATCACTTAAAAGGCTGACCATATTAAATGTTGACAAGAACATGGGAAGTACAGAGCACTCATGCATGGTGAGTTGGACTATAAATGATGCAACCATGTTGGATAGGGTCTGGAAGTTTCATATAAAACTAAACACACACACACACACCATAATCTTCTGACTTTTAGAGAAAAGTATACATTATTGTGTTATGCTGTGCACTACATTAAAAAAAATAGTATAGTCCTAACCGGTTTGGCTCAGTGGATAGAGTGTCGGCCTGCAGACTCAAGGGTCCCAGATTCGACTCCGGTCAAGGGCACATACCTTGGTTGCGGGCACATCCCCAGTAGGGGGTGTGCAGGAGGCAGCTGATCGATGTTTCTGGCTCCCTATCCCTCTCCCTCTCTGTAAAAACTCAATAAAATATATATTTAAAAAAATTTTTTTTAAATAAAAAAAGAAGAAAAAGCAGTGAATGGGAATTAAATATATGAAGACATGGCCACATTGCTTTCACTTCTTAAATTTAAGAATTATTGCTTTAATGGTCACACTACTTTCAGATGGAGTTGTAGGCGACACCCAGACATCTCACAGATATGTTATCTCAGATGCAGGAAGGCAGAGGGGCTCAGTAAAAGATCAAAGTTGATCTTTGTCAGGTGAAATCTCTGGGACATGACTACCTACTATGACCTGTTAGATATTTAATTTTCAGACCATCTCTTGTGGTTATCTTAGGTCTCTGGGTTTGCAAGACTGCCACACAGGCCTTCCCTGAGCTTGTCAGGTTAGCTTGTGGCTCTTTTCTTTCACAGCGACAGAATAAATGACCTTGGATTTACATGATAAGAGCTTCGTTAAAACTGCCAGGAAGCTGTGAGACGCAGGTTCAGGAAATGGGCAGGAACTAGGGAAGGCTGAGCAACTTCCCCTCAGAAAAGGTCACAACAAAACAACCCAGCCCAGCACTGAAGACTTTGCTATCTCAATAAAGAGGCTAGCCAAAACCGGTGTGGCTCAGTGGATAGAGCGTCGGCCTGTGGACTGAAAGGTCCCAGGTTCGATTCCGGTCAAGGACGTGTACCTTGGTTGCGGGCACATCCCCAGTGGGGGGTGTGCAGGAGGCAGCTGATCAATGATTCTCTCTCATCGATGTTTCTAACTCTCTATCTCTCTCTCTTCCTCTCTGTAAAAAAAAATTAAAAAAAATAAATAAAATATATTTAAAA